AACGCTAACAAAATCAATCCATCACTTATTATTTGCAAACCAAAATACAATAAAAGTTGTGAAAATTCATCAACCTAATTAAAGTAAATTAAAAAACAATTGTATGTCCCATTTTACAAAATTATTGGTAAGGTTAGTCAGGCCGAATAGTTTGGATGATTATTCGGCTATTCAGCTACTCTCCTGGCCGAATATTCGGTACTCGTTGCAACACTAGCAGTATACAATGATGTTTCATATTGCGCTTTCAACTCGTGTGGAATACAAGACATAAACGAACGAACGGACGAACATAAGCCACAAGCACTGGATTAAAAACACCAGTGCCATTGAATTGAAAATATTTCGGTTTTTTACACAACTTACTTCAACTAGGAGTTGCCCGTAGTTTCTTATGACAGCGACATCGTCCCTGCTTTCGTACTTGGACGATATGGCCACTTGGTCGCTGCCTTTAGATACTATCTGCAATTAAAAATGGATGAACTCGTTCAATTGCACCGATTACTTGTTTGCTAAATTTCCAGACACATAGTTTCCCTAGGCTATGAGTGTGTACGTCAAAAAAAAATCAAAGTTCATATCTTGCTTTTCGTGGCTTGCACAACGGTTTTCTTGGTGTCACTGTCTGTAAAGGTTCCGGGTTCGATCCCCGGGCGGGTCAATGTAGAGAAACTAACTTTTCTATATTATCTGGGTGTTCGTAATACCGCGTCGTTGTTTCTGATTTTCATAAACATTTTAAGAATGCATCTCGTGTATGTGCATTGTTTACATATTATGTTAAAAATTGCAAGAAATCTTTACCATGGGCAAAATGCAAGGCCTCGCCAAGGTCATGGTGAAGGAGCTTATGATGACAGGATTGAAGTCCAAAATCTTCGGGTACATGTCCAGTGGCGATAACGTACCTGCAGCCAAATTCAAATTCAGTCTGATTTTTAATGGTGTCTTTTTTCCCCTCTCTTCGTTAACAACCGTATCTGCTATTAAGTTTATAGAATATCATGATGTTATACTACCATGATATTCAATTATTTTTTTGTGAAATTACTCGACAATATGTTACAAATACGTGTAGTCGAAGTACGTCGAGTCGACTTACTTACTTATTTGACAGTAATTGTTACGGACGGAGATTGGGATTAGACACTCTGACACAGCACGGTATGCTGAAGGCGCTGGTTCAAATCCATCTGGATCGAAGGATTTTTTCTTAATGTTCGAACTTTGTATTATAACCGTATCTGAGTTACATTCAAATATATCCTCATTTCATAGTCGATGACGCGCCCCTATAACTGCTTCCGGGTTTTGCTCGTTCGACATTTATTGCAGTTATTACCAAGTAAGTTCATCAGCTCTAAACACACAACAACAGCTCACCGACACATTTTTAGACCACGCAATAGATTGCTTCTGCCACGATCTCGGCTACACATACACAGGTCAAGTCCCCACTCGATGTCGGTGAGGATATTCAATGAGCTCCCGCCCTTTATTAAAAACGAGGAAAAGTATTCACAGTTTCTAAATAAATTAAAATGACATCTTATTAATAAATGCTATTACAATTTAAATGAATACTTTGATGACAAATAAAAAAAAATTGTATTATAATAAATTTGAATAATAAATAAATGTTAATTATATACTATAAAGTTATGCTATTGCAATCTAATTAAATTCTAACTTTCAAGTGACATAATTCTACTCATCATATGACGTATTTCTTTCTTATTACACGACATATTTTTTTATTTTATATTATTATTTGATAAATAACAATTTTAATTAATAATTGAAACCTCGGCCTACCTTTGCTGTTATTGTTATCCCTAATAAAGGGCTCATATGTGTAGCATTATTTTAAATTTAAGACATGTATGCCATATGAATGCAATAAATATTCGACCCCTCCTACGTAAAGTATCGTATGTCGAAATTGCCAAGTTTACAGGGGAGCGTTTTAAAGTTCTGAATTCACTGAAATAGTGATCACCATAGATCATCTAACCGATATCTAGGATTTTATAATACTCTATGTGAGTAATGAGCTTTGCCGAATAAAACTGTTATTTGTTTACTGTTGTATTGTTGTTATGTTCGTTTCAGTGAATTCAGAACTTTAAAACGCTTCCCTGTAAACTTGGCAATTTCGACATACGATACTTTACGTCGGAGGGGTCGATATTGAGTATTGAAATAGACATTCGAGAAGATTCGGCTGTTGCATCGCACAGAATAAGCGCAGTGTGACGTCAAACGATGACGAAATATTAGGAAATCTCGCGAATGTTTGATTATTCCAGCGACCGGGCGCGTCTTCTCGTGCAGCGAGGCGAAATTGACGCTTTCGTTACATTCCGTTCCACCGTAACGTAAATTGAGCCTAACGCTTTCGTCGCGGTATTCGAATTGCAATATTGCGTGAGAAGTTTTACTGCAAACTCAAATGTATCTTTATTTCATAGGTAAGCAAATTACACTTGACATCGTCATACTGATTAAACTCTACTGCTCATTCCCAAGGCAAGCAAGAAACTCTAGGGGTTGCCCTTTGTAAACAGACATTTGTTCACGTTTATCTTCTACCATATTATTATTTATTTAAAATACAGTGTGTTGATTTGCATTCTCGCCATATTTAAGAAATTAACAATAGAAATAATGCTAAATCATCTAAAAATATTTTAAAAATTATTCTGTTCGGTATTCTGATCTACCAATAAGTTTTCTTTCTGCGTATTTAAGGTCATTGTTCAAAATGTTTACAAGTGCCGATGCCGTGCAAGTCAATGACCTTTGGATCAATTTGTTTACCGCAATTAAATAAAAAATATGAATTTACGATTTCTTTTTTTAGTGACCTTTGTAAATATGGCGAGAATGCAAATCAACACACTGTATATGAAAGAGCTAAACAGTTTATAAACATTTAATTTTGGATAGGGACTTTCCTAAATTACTTCTGGTAAGGATGTTCCGGGTTAGTGCTCTCAGAGTATTCCTTGCTCTAGTACTCATATTTAGTTGATACCCTATTTTGAGACGATATACATATGTATAATTGGTGTGATTGTCTATCACATTCATTTATTGTGTTTTTAGTTTTGTTTTGTAATGTTAAAAGGATTTATTCCCCACTGTGAAGGGATATTACAAATTTAAGGAAAACAATAAATCTAAATGTATGATGTAAACGTGACATTGTTGACACCAGTGGGGATTTGTGGAATAAACCCAAAAAAAGTACCTGACGTTATTATAACTGACTGGAACCTTGCGAAGACCGGCCTCATTGCTATTGACGAATCCATGCAACTGTAATGGAATAATAAAATAAAGCACTCTCATCGCAAAGATCTTAAGATGCTTTATGGTTGAAAACATTAGTTTAGGATAATAATAAGCATAAAGCATTTTCAGATTTTTGCAACTTAAAATTATTTCAATAAAGCTGATTTTTACCACATATTATGGATATTAATATATTTTTTCCAAATAACAAAAAAAAAGTCTGCCGGCGGCGCGGTGGTTATCCCCGCCTGCGTATACTTACAGTTGGCTAACCTGTCCTGTACCAGGAGCGCCAACATTGCAACATTATGTGTTGCAATTTTAAATTATCTAGTAGTGACCTCTACAATTATCTAACGAATTAATATTAACGCCATCTATTTGTTTCAAATGATAAGTCAGTGTAACGTTCCATTTCAAACCAACAACTGTCAAAACGAGGTTATAAAATAAACGCGCTGCTTGTAGTTTACTTCGTGAACGTCGTATAAAAGGTCACGTACGACGAACGTCATATAAAATGAAAACTACTTACGAGAAATGCAAAATAGGATTAGAAACCGTAGGCGTTTTGTCATCAAACGGTTCTATGATGATTGTGAAGCCCTTCGTGTACGTGGACACCAGCGTCGCCAGGTGGGTGATGAGGGTGAGGGACGCGAAGTTCGAGGGGTCGGGGATCTCCAGGGTCTTCATCAGCGAGTTCAGGCGCGTCGCGCAGAACCGTAGCGGCTTACGTTCGATGCACACTCGTGACGCCACGTCTTTCAAGAAACCTATCAAGAAGAATAATCAACTTAATCATTATTCTTGACAGGTTAATTAATTATAACGGTTTATAAACAAACTTCAGCTGCCACTTGGTTAACCGGTCAAGTACAATATTTAGTAGTGAGTTTCGTACGTTGTATTACTGCTGTACTCGATAATTTGGTCACATGTTATTAGCTGTCATCTTTTTAAAGGCTCGATTTTAGGTTGTTTATCGTATGAATATTGTGATACGTGTTATTAATAGTAGTTTGTGTGACTGTTACATAATGAAAGGCATTAAAATACGAGAGTTTCATCTCACGAGTGTTTTAATGCCTAATTATGTACAGTTCCATACACTGCTTTATCTACACACATATTATAAGCTCTCTGTGATGTGTTCAGGAACCGCATGTTACGACTGGCGAAATGGCGGCAAATAAAAACTTTTCTCACGCATGACACGCAACCGTAGTTTTTTTTAATTCATAGACAAACTAGAGTCGGCCCCAACTATCACATCGTTCGATATCAAGTAACGTGTGAAATTTGTTAAAATTGTTTGCTATTGACATATCATTTCCAATAAAACTTCATCTCGACTGATATTAGAATTGAGTTCCAATCAAATTGTTTTGTTTTTCAGAGATGTTCGAAATTTGAATTTAATAATAAAATCAATTTGACATTAATATGAAGCACAACATTTTCACAGATAAGAAATTTGTTCTAACAAAACAGTTTACCTTTATGCTGGTCGTAATTTGCGGTGATTGAAAACATCATAGAGGGTTTATGATATGTGTGTAGATAAACATCTTTATATATACATTATATTTATTATTATAATATTTAGTACTATTTTAAATAGGTACTTTGATTTGTTGTCTATTACATGAAAATATTCTCATATATTTAGAACCGTTTTTAAAAAGATAATTACAATTTTACAATAAGTGACCAGCAGGCACAGCATGAGGGGAAATACACAAAACTTAAGCGCGTAGAGATATCTCTCTCTACTCTACCGATTATATGTCACCTCCGAGCACGCCGTAACAGGAAGAGAAACTCTCTACCGTAGACAAAGTTTTCTCTGCGCGTTCTTTCTGTCTTCTGCACTAAGGGTAGTAGACATATTTCGCTACGACGATCTGTCAAAAGTATACAAAATTTGGCTGTCATGCTATGGTTGGAGAGAAATTATCTTCATTTGACATTAGTATGCGCGACAACTTATACCTCATAGTGCTTATGCTCGAGCCTGTAGAGATAATACATAGTGACGTCATTTTCGAAAGAAAATTGACAATTAGAAGAGATAACTTTTGTCTTCGGGCTCATGCTAAGCCTGCTGGTAATGTTTCATAAAATACTCTATTGCGGTTTATTTACATTTAATTGATTAAAACCTTTGTAGTATAATAATTATTTTTTTGTATTAAATAAATAAATAATAAATATCGCACACACTCAACATTGCCCCGCACTAGGGAAACCCTGTGTCGCAGGTACCATGGACACACACATAGACAACCACAAATTACACCCAAACTCACGAGAGAAATAAATGTAAGCCATACAAATATTTCTCCCGGCCCGGGAATCGAACCTGGGACCTCTGCGTGGCAGTCCGGCATGGTAACCGTTCGGCCACGGAGGCAGTTAAAATCACCTTCTGTGTCGGTCACACATATCTACCTGATGATATGATGACAACTGTGGTAGTGCCGATCTTAAAGAATCGAACAGGTGATGCTTCTGACATAGGAAACTATAGGCCCATTTCACTGGCAACAATTGTTGCAAAAGTGCTGGACGGTGTGCTTGGCAGGGAACTGGATAGTCATGTGAAACTTAGTTACGCACAATTTGGTTTTAGATCTGGACTTTCCACAGAGGCAGCAATTCTTTGCCTTAAGCACACTGTTCGATACTACACAGACAGGAAAACACCGGTATTCGCATGTTTCCTGGACTTGTCGAAGGCATTCGACTTGGTGTCCTATGGTAAACTATGGCAGAAGCTGTATGAAGACACTACACTACCCGGTGAGCTGGTGGAGTTGTTCAGGTAATGGTACAGTCATCAAAACAATGTTGTGAGATGGGCAGATGTGCTATCCGATCCGTACAAGTTGGAGTGTGGGGTGAGGCAGGGGGGGTTGACGTCGCCCATACTCTTCAACTTTTACGTCAATCGGCTGGTGGAGGAGCTCAGCAGCGCCATGGTAGGATGCTCGGTAGATGGGACTTTTGTAAATAACATTAGTTATTTTTATTTTATTTTTTTTTTTTATACCTGACAGGCAAATGACTCCACTCCACCTGATGTTAAGTGGAAAGTGGTATCCAAACGCGAAGGAACCTAGTGCAGCGATGGAATCCTCACTGCACTAGCCGCCTCCACCCTGCCTGCCTACAATATGCCTCTTCACGCCTCGTTTGAAGGACCCCATATCATAAGAGGGAGGGAAGACATGTGCCGGTAGGGAGTTCCATTTGTCAACAGTGCGGCAGAGAAAGGAGCCACCGAACCTTTTAGTACGCGATGGAATGCGGCAGGTAGTGAAACGGTGACTACGAAGGCCAGCACGCGTGCTTCTGAGCAGGAACGGGGAAGGGGGGATGAGGTTGAACAGCTCCTCAGAGCACTCACCATGGTACATGCGGTAAAAGGCGCTAAGCGATGCAACATCTCTACGCAGTTGCAGAGGTTCAAGGCGTGATGAGACCTCTTCGTCGCCTATAATTCGAGTAGCACGACGCTGTAATTTATCCAAGGCATCGAGTAGGTACTTTGCGGAGCCGTCCCACAAGTGCGAACAATACTCAACGCAAGACCGGACCTGTGTTTTGTACAGCAGGCATAACTGGTCCGGCGTGAAAAAACGTCGCACCTTGTTCAGGACTCCGAGTTTCCGTGAGGCTGTTTTGATCACAGATTCGATGTAGCTCCTTGGATTCAAATCACAGCAGATTTCCATACCGAGCAAGGTGAAACTGCTCCGAGGTGAAAGTGCTGTGCTCATCAGAGAAGGCATGGGAAGGAACGGCGACAATTTTGTTGTTAACGCGCAAACCTGTGTTTTCTTGGCGTTGAACTCAACAAGATTACTGGATCCCCATGCAGATATGAGGTCCAATATCCTATTGAGCTCAACGACAAGATCAGATCGCTCTCTGTCAGTATCGGCGCGCCCAGCTGCGGGGAATCCATGATATCCCCCATGAACAGTGCTATCATCTGCATAACAATGAATATTCCCAAGTGGAAGCATATCATTGATATGCAGAAGGAAAAGCGTGGGAGATAGGACGGATCCCTGCGGTACGCCGGCGTTCACATTCACGAACCTCGAAATGCTGCCGTCAGAAACGACGCGAATTCTCCGCTCACGAAGGAAATCGGCAATCCAGCTGCATAACTGGGCTGGCAAACCGTACGCCGGGAGCTTGGAGAGAAGAGCTTTGTGCCAGACCCGATCGAACGCTTTGGCTATATCGAGGCTAACAGCCAACGATTCGCCACGTTTGTCTATAGCCTCACCCCAAATATGCGATAAGTACGCTAGAAGGTCACCCGTTGATCGTTTCGGACGAAACCCATACTGCCGATCATTAATTATGGAGTGATCTTCTAGGTATTGGGTCAGTTGTTTATTAAGGATCCGCTCTAAAACCTTGCATATTATGGAAGTAATGGCTATGGGACGGTAATTATGCGGGTCTGATCGGTCGCCTTTTTTGGGAACTGGTTGCACATTAGCCTCTCTCCAAGAGTCCGGCACACGACCTGAAGAGAGCGACAGACGATACAGTCGCGTTAGCACGGGAGTCAACTCAGCTGCGCAATTCCTAAGTACAATCGCTGGGATACCATCAGGACCACTAGCTTACCGGACGTCGAGAGACTGCAGCTGCGTACGCACATCGCATTGTCTGATACGAATATCAGACATCGTGTAGCCACAGTGAGGTAGAGTTGGTGGCTGTGCGTTACAGTCGTCGAGACAGGAGTTAGCCGCAAACAGATTTGCCAAGAGGTCGGCTTTATCTTGCGGCTTGTGGGCTAGATTGCCGTCAGAATATCTCAGCGGTGGCAGCGAGGGCTGGCAGAAGTTCGACGCAACGGCTCTGGCCAGACGCCAGTAGCTACGACTACCTGTGGGATGCGTCAAGAGTTCTTGGCCAACTCGTGCGACGCGCTGAGCATCCGCTCTGATGTACGCTCTTTTGCAAGACCTGGTGGCATTATTGTAGGCTGTTTTAAGTGAGTTCGTATTGGGATCGTCTGAAGCTAGACCCCTGATCCAAGCGCGGTATGCAGTCTGTTTGTTCTCAACAGCCACAGCACACTCGCGGTTGAACCAGCGGTTGCGCCTCCCTTTACTGACGAGATCCGAATGCGGGATGTAGTATTCCATCCCGATTAAGATCTCATCAGCAACGGCAGTCGCGCAAGCTGTTGGATCCACCTCACTAAAACAGCGCTGCCGCCAGGGAACGGATGCAAAATAGTCCCGCATACCGCCCCAATCTGCCGACGCATAATGCCAAATGCGGCGTTTAGCCACAGTAGGTGATGGTGGGAGTAACGTTGCCACTTTAGTGGATATCAAGCAGTGATCCGAAGTGCCCAGAGGGGCTTGGACCACCACCCGATATCCAGCCGGGCGAGACGTCAGCAGAAGGTCCAACAAAGAGGGCGCGTCACCAACCCTATCTGGAATCCGGGTGGGCTGATTCACCAGTTGGGTTAATTCGTGTGTGAGAGCGAATGTGTGGGCAGTTCTTCCAGCATGGTCAGTTTTAGAGGAACTTAACCACGACTCGTGGTGAGCATTGAAGTCCCCTAAAAACACCAATTCCGCTGTAGGAAACTGCGCGTGCACCGCTGTACGACCGAAATTTGTACTTTGCGCTAACATGTTGGAGGGAAAAAGAGGCGTGAAGCGAGAAAACAGTGCCGCGACACAAGCGGTCAAATCGCGGGGCCTGCTTCCCCAGAGACTTGCCTACAGACAAGTTGCGCTGATCCGCCGGACGGAAGGGCCCCCGAACCCCCCCGGGAATGGCCGCCGGGACCCCACCTCCCGGTCACCAACCGGCACGACGAACCACACCGAGATTATGCGCGGCATGGTGAGGCAGCCTCACGAGCTGGTTAAGCACGCTTGGGCCCCTGTACTGTACCGCGGGCGGCCAGCGGAACAACCGTTTCTACGGGTCTCCCTGGCCGGCGGGTCAATGCAGTTGTCCTGGCACTGGTTCGGCGGAAGCCTCCACAGACCACAAATGTCGCGGCAGCGTTCCCTCGGGCTCTGGTTGTACGCTGACTGATCCCGGAACGCATCCGACTAGCGAATAATTGGCGGGTTTTCCATCATGCGCACGGTGGTCACTAACCAGGCGGGTTTTCAAGCCCTACCACCAGTGGAGCAGCTGGTTGCTCAATATCCCTTAGTCGCCTTTTACGACACCCACGGGAAGAGAGGGGCGGTGAATTGTATTCTAATCCGTCACCGCACGGACAGGTGCTGATGACATGGTGTTGCTGAGCCCTTCCATCAGTGCCCTCAGGACGCTGGTGGCAATTTGTGAGCTGTATGCGGTGAAACATGGCCTCAGGTACAATACCTCTAAAAGTGAGCTGATGATTTTTGAGGCGAAAGGGGTGACATTGCCAGACCAATTACCACCTGTTGCACTTAACGGTACACCTCTGAAGCGGGTTACAGAGTTTAAGTACCTGGGGCACTGGGTCACAGCTGGACTCAGGGATGACGTGGATGTAGAGAGGGAGCGTAGGGCGCTGGCAGTCAGAAGTAATATGTTGATCCGTAGGTTTGCAAGGTGTACTAACAGCGTAAAACTTACCTTATTCAGAGCGTACTGTCAGTCGTTTTACACTTGCAGCCTATGGATACACTTTACCCAGAAGGCTTACAGCGCCCTACAAGTCCAATATAACAACGCGTTCAGGATGTTGTTGGGGCTGCCGCGTCATTGTAGTGCATCTGGAATGTTCGCGGAAACGCAGATTGATGGCTTCCATGCCATAATGCGCAAACGCATGGCATCATTGAGAAGACGCGTGCGCGGCAGCTCCAACAGCCTCCTGGCCACGGTGGCGGAGAGGCTGGACGGTCCTTTTTTGGAGGCGTGGGATGCCCTTCATAAACCTGTGTACGTTCTTATAAAATAATATATATTTATCTATAATTATTACTATTTGTTAAATATTCTTGTACTAACATAGTTGATAAGTGCCTGTAACTAACAAACGATATGGATTAATTTCTGAAGTAAATGATTTTTGATTTGATTTTGATTTGATTTTGAAAATTAGCAGTAGAGTCCTTGTGAAAGAGTTCCTCCAGGGAATTACTGCCATCTTACCTATTTCTGCCGCCAATGTGAACATTACTGCATTCAGGTTTCGACGGGTAAAGGTGTAGGTGAAATTGCAGACACGTGGGACTTGTCAACTTATGTCTCAGGGTCACAGGTCCAGTGGCAGTGTCCCTCAGTTCTTTGCGATTTAAAGCTCTGAGTGGCACTGTAACTATTACAGACAAGTCGAAGGTAATAAATGACTGCTTGTTACAAGAGTCATCAAACTATAGAAACAATTTATTTAAATACCTGCAGGAGATTCTTGTACTACATGCTGTAGTCTTAGTCTCGTTTTCAGGTATTCGATGAACCTTCTCAAAAATCCTAGGAAATGTTCTGCATTTCTAATATTGCCCGGGACCACCTCTGTAAAAAAATATATACTAACTTAGTTAAAAAATAGTAGTTTATGTGACTGTTACATGATGAAAGGCGTTAAAATACGAGTGAGGGTTTTATTGCTTAATCATATACAGTTACATACACTGCTTTATCTACACACATATTATAAGCCCTCTGTGATGTGTTCAGGGACCGCATGTTACGACTGGCGAAATGGCGGCAAATAAAAACTTTTCTACCGTAGTTTTTATTTTTAATTCATAGACAAACTAGAATCGGCCTATCATATCGTTCGATAACAATTGTCAAAATTGTTTACTATTGATATTTCATTTCGATTAAAACTTCATCTCGACTGATATTAAAATTGAGGTCCAATCAAATTGTTTTGTTTTTCAGAGATGTTCGAAACTTGAATGTAATAATAACATCGATTTCGATATTGTTATGAAGCAATAATAACATTTTCATATTATGCTGGTCGTAATTTGCGGTTTTTGAACACATTATAGAGAGTTTATAATATATGTGTAGATAAAAACTATTTACATGCAAGTGTGATGAAAAGCATTGTACGAGTATATATCACAGGCGATACGGGAATTTGGGCTTCTCATAGAGTCTCGTTCGTAATTCCTTATTTACCGCCTTTAATACGCAATGTACCATTTTACTCAAGCGTTGCTTAGGAAAATTAAGGTAGTCTAGGAAGAGAATACTTGAAAGAGTTGCGAAGATGGTGTAAAATGATCTAAATGGTTAATAAGATCAATGGGTTGCGCTGACTACCAAGCGAAGGACTCCGTCTCGCTTGATATCATAGAAAAAACTCAAGTGTACGAAACTACAAGCTACTACCTTTAGAAACTAAGTCGTGCTTGACTAAATACTTTCATAGATGGCGCTACGGGTAAAAAGTCGTTGAAAACCAAATACAAAGATCCGACAACAAGCACATAGAATTATTCGTGAGGTCCGCTGATTCGTTCCGTGGTTTAGTTGGCACAGCGTCTGGTACAGTTTGCTAGAAAACGTCGTTTCGAATCCGGCCGGATCGAAGTTCATTTTTCTAAGTGTTCGATCTTTCTATTAATCATTACAACAAACTAGTGGAGTAATTTCACACAAAATAAATGAAAATCAATTCAATACAAATTTAATTACAGATAATAGCAACATCTCTAGTCGGGCTGATAGCTGTAAAATTACCTAAATGGGTGACGAAATACTTTCATAAGCTGAGTGAATGATGTAAAACAATATCACATAAATTTTCTTCTTTCTTTCTTCTTCAGCCGTTCTCAACTTCTAAGATCAACTTCAGTTTAATCCATCTTTCCCGGTCTTGAGCAGTTTCTAACCGCTTTATTCCCGCCAGTCCTTTGATATCGTCGTACTGACACATCTGTGGTCTTCCTCTTGGGCGTTTCTTGGCCCACGGCCTCCATTCTACCAAAAGCTTTGCTTGCGGGTGACATGGCCACCCCATTCACCCCTTAAATTTCCTATCCAGTTGCATCATTTATCCAAAGCCAACAATCCCCTTATGTTGTTTTGTGTGTAAAATAGGCGCTGATGTTAAGTTAAATCAATATAGCATAATCTTACCATTAAGCACCTCATCGGGCAATATAGGATTTCCAAGCACCATGTCAGTTTCTCTAGCGAAGGCGGCGTCGCGAAGGCCTTCCACCATCTGCTCATATTCCACGGTCAGCCTCGCCGCATCCTGTTCTCGAATACTGCACATAATTTTAGGTAAAAATGAAACATTTCCAGGAGTTCAAGTTGAAATGTAAATTCACTATAAAATAATAAATATTAGACAACATCATATACGTTTCTATGTGATGTAAGTAGCTAAAGCACTTGTGCTATGGAAATAGGAAACAACGACGGTACCGTACGACGACGACAACAACGGTACGGTACAACGACGTTACGGTAAGCACCCAGATCCGAGACAATATAGAAAAGTTAGTTCTTCTACATTGACCTGGCCGGGGATTGAACCCGGGACCTCAAAGATGGCGACACCATGAAAACCGGTGTGCAAGTCACTCGACCACAGAGGCCGTAAAAATAATCTCTGTAAAACTTTGTTAATTTATTTTTTAATTTATTTAATGACCTTGGATTCAAGTCTAAGTCAAAATATTAGATATAACAAATCTAGAAAGTATATAATAATTCCATTATTTTAATGTTGTTACTACCATGGTATTAATCTATTTATTTTATCCATTATTATTAATAAAAGTTTATTTCATTCCTGTATTTAAATTGGTTCGAGTGCAGTCGGTCGAAGGAATTTTTTGTTTGTTTGATCTTATAACAACTCGATAATTATTAAAGGTGAAACGGATGGTGATTTGGACGTGAGAATCCGTGTATCCGGCGAACACTTAGGCCGGATAGCCGAATATCCGGCCGCCGGTTATCTGACCCATTGCCGTAAACATGTCGCGACCGGATGTAAGCCGGTCGCGCGCATCCCCGTGATTGCACTTTCACGTTGAAGATTTGATTTATTGAGGCCACTTGGTTTTTATACAAACCAATTAATTTATTTGATAATACAAACAAATACATAACAGAAAAAAATCGCAAATTTGGCAATATTTTAATATCCGTGCTGTTTGTTGTACCGAATGCAAATTTCTCGCGGTGGAGAAGGAAAAAAATTATAATTTGTTTGTGATTTATCTAATTCTAAGCCCTGATACCAAATTCGAAAAAAATCTAAATACTTACATATTTCATTATTGTAGGTACAGTCAAGAGCACATCAAGCTTGACACTTCGTACTTTGGACCGTTCTTATAGTGAACGACATAAAGTTGGATTTAACTGTTAAGTGTCGAGCTTGACGTACTCTTGACCCTGTACCTATACATTGTATTTGAAGACAGTTCAATCGATCGTGATCGCGATTCCTTCCATTTGGTCGTCTGGCAATACCAAGTAGTACTAAATTTAACAGAATTCGCTCTGGACCTTTTGGAGGGAAAAGTGTCGTTTTTATTTTGACTTTCAATTATTTTGTGAAATCTAGTTTAAAGTGGAATAGGATAGTGCTATTGTGCCTTAATCGAAGATTAAAACGCGTTCAATTATACGAATCTCGAACTAAAATACCCGTATCGGCCCGTTCTAAGGAATCTCGAGTCAATCCAAGCAGGCCGCCTCAAATTGCCTATCCTCTTTGTGGCGGCCATATTTACAGAAAAACTTATTTTTATGTTTTCGGCTGAAGAACTTTGTTTCCATGGCCAGCAATGAATTTAAAAAAACTAAATTTAACAAAGTAGTAAATTTAACACAGTTTGCAAGAGTTTATAGTGAAAAATTGTCCATGAAACGGGTCTTGTTTATTGTGGAAATAAATAGAACCAACTTTTACCACTAAATGCAGAAAAATAGGTTTTCATCCTTTTATATTGCATACATAGCTTGCCTTTATTGAAATTTAAGTACTAAATTAAACAAATAACGTTATCTACCTTCATAGTTCTTTCAGTTATAAGTAATAAACAGATGCTGAGCTGTTTATCCTATTACTATCATCTTTAATCAATAAATCATGTTCTTTGGCGTACTGATTATGAATTTTTATCAGTTTTAAACATCCGGTATCCCGCTGGATATTGTTCTACTATCCGGTATCAGGCCGGATAGTAAAAATAGGCCGGATACCGGATTGTTACCGGATATCCGTTTCATCTCTAATAATTATAACAAACTAGTGAAGTATTTTCACAAAAAATATTTGAATAGCATCATGTTTAAAAAAATCATGATGTTCAATAAAATAAACATTGCTGTGTACAGTCGCCATTGGAATTTGACAGATTTACTGAAAGCTTACTTTTCGTTGTTTATAATAATGTTGTTAATCTATCCCATTAAAATAAAATTAAATAACAAAATGTTTTGCCGCCAAGGTGCAATACACGTACTCACTGTGCGACAGTTTTCTCGAGCTGTTGCAAAGCCTGTGTGCTCTTGTCTATGGTCCTTCTAGTAACCTTAACGCTAAGCGAGTCTATGCACACGTTGTCTATGTTGTGCGCCTCATCAAACACCACCACTGCTTCTTTATTCAGTTCTTTTGAAACCACATCGGCTATTTTAGGATCTAATAAGTAGTGATAGGAGTAGACTATGATTTCTGCGTGAATTATCTGAAATGGGAAATATAAAGTTTCAAAAGCACATGTTCTAATTTCAAATATATTCATACATTTCATTTGACATCGTCATCTTAATCTTAGCTTATAGTATAAATGAATAACATTTTTATAAAAAGTAAAACCGGCCACAATATTTCGTGGAATTACATCTATTTGCCAAGTTTTATTGAAATCGGTTACTGGAAAAAGCGCGAAACCAAAACCGGATTCATCCCCCAGTTTGCCACCCTTAAAGGTGGAATATTTTTTATTATTCATTAAATGAGACCCATATCGGAGTAATCACGTAAAACCACGCAAAAAATACAGTCGAATATAGAACCTCCTCTTTTTTGGAAGTCGGTTAAAAAGTAATTTTCAAAAAGCTCGGTGTTGCCGTTTTTTTTATTTTATTTATTGAGGAAATCAACAGCCTATTACAATTAACATAACGCATGCTATAAGTCTAGAACAAGTCCAATAACAAAAGTATAATCTATAATATACTTAGTGCATATTTGTTTAGATTTCTGTGGTTAAAACTAATCAGAAAATGTTATTTATTAAATAATGATGATTATTTATTCATCATTTACATAAGAGTATAGTCGAAATACAGAACAAGAAAGCCATCAGGTTCTCTTTCATCTTACATTGCTTTTTTCCTTTTACTTACAGCGAATCTGGAAAGAAAATAAGGACACCAATTCCTATCGGCGCCATATTGTTTAAGATCATCCAAAGTGTAGACTCCGTACGGCAACATCGACTCCTTGCCTTCGCGGTTGAAGCCTTCGTAGAATTGACCTTAAACACATAGCAAATCTTACACGCACAGTTTTGCTTGCAGTCTTTCACGGAATAACAAACTAGTGGAGGTGTGAAGTGGGCGTTCCCCTGTAGCCATTGGTATGATATATTTATCATAACCAACTTATGTTGTGCGTCTACGTTCTCATAAACCGTATGTGAACCAAAAATGTTTTGATTGAATTATAGTTTGGTGTCCAAATGAAAAGAGGCGTGATGCAAATGAAGCTTCATACTGGATACTTGTCTTTTAATTTTGTCGAATATTACTTATTTGACAGTAATTGTTTCGGACGGATGTCAGACGGAGATCGAAAGTAGCCCTGTTTCGGGTTGTCGAAATAATCTAATAATAAATAATATAATAATCTGGTGAAGGAGTTTCACATCATCGGTAAGTGTTATTTTCACTAAATTAAAATTTATATTTGATAATTTTGTGCCATTGTAACAAATAAAAAACACTTACATTGCATTGATATTATGGACTCTTTTATGATCCGATTGACTGAGACCTAGAATGTTCCACATAATTTTTTGCTCCTTCGAATAGTGTCAAGTGTCTCCCTATCTGTGATGATGTTTTCAGGGATTCCTAGTTTTGAATATTCGTGCCATCTAGTGGCGAATAACGGAACTCCTGAGTCCAACAATGTACTGTTTGTCTTAGGAGTTCCGTTACTTTACACTAGATGGCACAATTATTCAATAGTTCTTTTTTCCAAAATTGTATACATATACAATCGACCCAATTTCGTATGATAACTAAATCCAACCAAGATTATACGTGTACTATCTTAGTAGTGTAATTGTTTATTATTCACTCATTTACATTAATTATTAAAAATAATCACTCGCAGTTCGTTCCTCCCTGCTACTAAGCAGACGTGTATTTAAGAGGGAGCAGAGGAAAAATTCCTAATCTTCGATTTGATTTTACAGGGGTATATCCACTTTAAAGTTAAAAATAAAATATTGTATGAGTAACTACACGATATATTCAAGCATAGACACTAATCAGAAACATAAAACAATAAAGTTTCCTCGATAGATAAAAATCACGAAATGACCTCTAATTTTCACATTTTTTCGATTCATCTTCGAAATGCTACAGGTTATTAGGACTACAATTAGATAATTAATTATATTTATGCATGATCGACAACTCACTACGGATTTTTTTCAACATCCTGAACAGTAATGAAAAAATTAGTTTTGAAAATATCGCTCGTTACCATTTCCACCAGTTTGTTATTCCGTGAAGTCTTTTAATTAGTTGCAGTGCCACTCGGGTTTAAATCGCAAGACAAGCATAGGTCTGGACTTTGGGATATAAAGTTGTTATGTCACATGTCTATAATTCCACTAGCTTCTTTATTCATCAAAACCAGAACGCCGTCATGGTCACATTACTGCTAAGCGGAAATAGATAAGGTGGCAGTACTTCCCTGGACGAACTCTTAGTAAATTGGAGAGTTGGTAATGAAGTACCATGTGTGGAAACTGTGCCAAAGGTAAAGAGGATGTGATGAAATGATATTATTTGAAATAACACTGTGGTGATACAAGTTTTAATGTTATGTATGAACAGGTAAATTTATATCCTATAACACAATTGTGCAATACAGTAGAATGAAAAGAAGAGTACTCACAAATAGGAGTTTCACTGTTTTTCTCGTGCTTCTCTCTGATATAACTGGCTGTGAGTGAGTGGCATCTTCCGTCCACTAGCTTGCCTTCCCTTTCTCTTGATACCTGAAAGGTATATCCATAAAAAATCCACCCCATTACCAAATATAAAAGCTTTCAAAAACGTGCTTATTGTGCATTGTGTTTTTGTGGTCTTCAGGAGGACGCTGAGATTCCAGGACGACCTCGAGTGGCACGAGTATGACCCTGCCACACGCAATATAGGCGCCTAAACGTCGAGTTGCGGACATCGTCACACTATACTATACCATACTACTGAACTTTGTGCACCTAGACATTTTTAACTCTGGTCTCAAGTTGAGTAATGCAATTATTATTTCTATATAATAATTCTCTGGCTGGACATTTTGGAATTTAATTAAAGAGCTTCGGAACTAAAGCCGTTTTTTAATACCAATTTCGTAGTGTTAGTAAATGGATTTGTCGCATTGTATTCAGATCCGTGCATTTGAAATATATTTTTAAGGGTTGGATAAATAGAAACAAACAAAAACAGCCATCTGCTACTTACTTAGCAATTGTTTGTTATGACGCTCCTCAATTAGATTAATTAGTTATCGAGTTCTTAGGTTTCACATTGGAAATTTAACTTTTTTAGTTAATGTAATTATAATTTAATTTAACATAAAGACCTTCAAATGTTGTCGAAAAATAAGTTTCATTTCAAATTCATTAATACTGAACTAACAATAAAGGAAATTTTTGTAACTGATTCCAACATACATAAAACCAAAGTTGTTTGTTCCAAGAAGATAATGTTGTACTATTTTATTATTAGAAAAAATGTTATAATGTTGTCACCTCAGGATGTATGCAGAGATTCTTTCTAGAGCTGAGAACTAAACCAACAAGATTCGGTTTCTCTCCCTGATGGACTTCATAGTACTTTACCAGGTTTTTCAGCTCTTCAAGAACCTTCTCTATTTCAGGTAGTGTTCGGGAACAGTATATTAGTTTTCTGAAATATTAATTACATCTTGCATGTTGAAATTGATCCTGTCTTAAAAGTAAAACTCTAGTTTTTTTTAAACAACTACACTGATTACCCGAACAAACTACGGAATTCCCTGTACCATGAGCCAGAGAACTCCCATGAGTTGAGTTATTTTCCAAATTGGTACAACTGGTAATTCAACCCGGGACCTCCTCATTCAGCACAGATTTGCCACTGAGGTCATAATTTTTTCTTTTTTTTTATCTATTTTTTATTGAGGCTTTAGCCACCTTGAGTGAATGTCAGCCTCATGGGAGGTATACTAAGTTCCCTACTCAAGGGACATGTTCAAAAACATGTACAAGTTTAGAGCTTCAACGTTACGTTACATTCCACCAATACATGACAGATGCTCAATTTTATTGCAAGCACAATGGTGATGGTTTAAACCCAAATATGAAAGAATTTATTAGTTGGAATGTGACCAGAATGCAGTTTTTCATTTTAAAATTACTCTCATAAACTTTAACAGCTATTGGTTTTGCTATAGGTTTGATATATTTTAAAGGTTTTTAGAAGAATACACTTTATCTTGTTCTTGTTATTGGTAAAGCTTCTTATAACAAGCGACAGAATAAACAAGTTGTGCACCTAGTGGTAAGCAACATATATGTCCTTAACATTTGTAGTGCCACTCAGAGTTTTAAATCGCAAAGATTTGAGGAGCATTCACACTGCGTCCTTCACCCTCAGATACAAGTAGACAAGTCCTATGATTAATATAAAGTAATTTCACCAGCACCTTCACCCTTCAAAAACCAGAACACAACAATGTTCTCGTCACCGCTTGGCGGCAGAAATAGGTGAGTGAACTCTACTAAAATCTAAATACATATATCACCCATTTACCAGAACAACGTGTTATTTATATATGTCGATGTATTTAACATAACACATTGTGCTGGCAAACGGGCAATATATAGTTAGGACACTCATGAATTGTTCTTCCAAATAAGAATTATAGGAGACTGTGATGTAGCAGCAATTCTACAAGCTTCTAATTTGGAGGTGTTCTAACGTACAGCACAATGCTGCAAATTTGTCAATAATATAAACAAAAATTTACAATTACCTCACATGGTGAGGATTCTGGATCATATAAGCCACAATCAAAGACAGTAGAGAAATTGTCTTTCCTGTACCAGAAGGCATCTCCAGAACGCCATGGCCCTAAAATAAAAAAACATTACTAAACAATGTTTACAAAACATAACCTACACAATAAGTCGAGATATAAAAATAACTATTTAAAAATAATAAGTGACTTACCTTAGCATCTAAGGCCCTTTTTAAATCTAACATATACGCATATTGTTCAGGATAAATATAATCGTATGGGAAGTATACTAGCAATCCATCCACCGTCAACCTAAAGCAAACATTTTATGAAAAGTACACAATATAAACAGAAAACTTTAAGACATCTAGTTGATTATACTTTAGCAGAACAAAATTAACTTACTTCATGTTGGTTATTATGCTAAATTATATAGTTTGTAAATTAAAAGCATACACAAACAAGTCTTAGCACGCTCTCAGTCTATCAGCTTCGAATTACATTACATGTTTCTTCTAGTTTGAGCTTTGAATTTGACTTTTTGACTGATCTAGAGATGCACCATTACGATTCAATTTTTATGAAGATCGTTTCAAGTGTATGCGTTCTAGCGATTTTTATATCGATTCATTGCAATGTGATTTTTCAAGCTAATCGTTTTCATAGAAAGATAAATCGAATCGTCTAAATGTTCACATTTATTCGTACACATTGAACATATTCATAATTTCTAAACGAAAGCTTCGTTTTATTAATTAGATACGGTTGGTCAGTAAACAAGTTATATTCACAACTATAAAAAATTTATTTTTAATAAGTTTGAACGTCAATGATTGGCATTTGTGAAAAGTACTTTCATAAGTAAAAAAAATATTTATGTATACGTTTTATTGCGACAAAAAAAAGTAGTTTTATCTTTTTACATGGACTGATCGTTTAAGAGAATTGTACATAACATTTCAAAGAAGAACGGCGACATCCCGTGTATTTTATGACCCAGTGTTTATGACTACGTGCATTAAAGAGACCTATCAGTACTTGTGATTCATTATTATCATCAATGCATCAAAAAAGCAAATTGAGTACAGTCTGTAGAAACTGGAGGTTCTAAACTTGATATAGGTTATGTTTCTAACATTGTCTTGTATTTTGTTTTAGATGTTTGTTCGTAGTAGCAGAAAACAATAACTTTTCTGTTTGTTCCTAAAAATAATCAAGAACTTGCTGAATATTCCTAAATCTGCCAAACTCTGCCACATTTAATACAACGTTAACATGTTCTGTCGCAATGAAAATTAAATCTACCCAGATGGCAGAAATCTGCCAGAAATGGTCACACTGATCTCAATATCAATGTGACATTGACATTGGCGAGAGGCCTCTTATCAGAATGTTCCTTTGGTAACTTTCGTATCTCTCATTTAAATATTGTCTAAACATTTTTGTCACATTGTGTTTTATTTTTGCTTTATGTCATTATTGTTTAATTGATTAAGTATTTTGTATCTTAAAATAAAACGTACTTACAAGAACGTTACCTAATCTGTGGTGGCACTAAATCAATTTCGTTGTGTTCTTGCATCTATTCTAAAATACATTCTTTTGCAATTTCTCTATTCTCGACTCGAAAATATACAAACGTATATTAATAACTAACTAGGCATAAACTAAAACGTAAAATTATACTAGCAAAGTATATGAACGGCACTTCGTTGATTTTGGGTCAGCGTTCGCCATTCTCCTTTTCGCGTTACATGCATGTATATTTAACTAATCTGTCAACCAGAAAAGAAATACTGAATTTAATATAATAGACCCTAAACAAACAATATTCTTTGCAGGTATATAAATTTGATAAACTTGCAAAGTAGTAATTATTATTGACTTTATATTTTATTGTTCACTTTTTGATTATTTATTTATTTATTATATTTTATTTATGATAACTTGTTACATTATTAATTCATAATCTTAAATTTGTTGTGTTGTTTTTGTGACATAATAACATAACAATTAAATCTTTGCTTTTTTTCGTTAATAAACAAGACATTGTCTAAGCCGATTCCTTCATCATAATAATTACCTGAATGAGAGTTTTAATCGATTTTTTTTCATTTGAAATTACATCACAACATCTCTAGAAACTTCAAATCCCAAACGTCACCGTACTTTCTTTTTCATTCGTTTCTTGAGGAGCAGGCGAAGGTCAGAGAACATACTGCCTAGCCATTAGATCCTCTTTTTTTTTCAGTAATGTACAGTCAAGAGCATGTCAGGTTTGACATTTTGGACTGTTCTTATCGTAAGCGGCATAGAGTTGGATTTAATTCTTAAGTGTCAGCTTGACGTGCTTTTGATGTGGCTGTACCTTAGACTATTTTTTCCATCCTCTAAGGGCTGTACGCCTTTAAAAATAAAGTTTTTTAGAATACAATCAACTTCAACTTTTGTAGCTATGGCTCCGTCGTTTTGCGCGACGATTTCGCCAATGTCAGGGTTGAAAGACATATAGTGCGGTGGTGAGATAGATTACCGGTTATTAAAATACAAGCTGTTATTATGCACATTGACGGTTTTTTTTTGCTAAAATTCAATAACAGTTTTTTTTTATTATTATTAATTAAATGTTTACGTCAAATCCTTATCATTTGACAATTTTGTTTGTAGTGGTCTTAGACCTAGGGTCGTATTCCAGAACTGTACTCAATGCTCAAGTCAGGATTTGGGCAGACTTGAGCATGATTTCAAGCACTGGAAATACGTCCCTAATGGCAAGGACTTGAGTACGATTTCTAGTGCTTTGAATCATACTCAAGTCCTGACTTGAGCATTGAGTAGGGTTCTAGAATACCACCCTTAGAGTATGGAAAAAAAAAATAAAGAAAGGAGCTGCCCTAACTACGGAATGAATGTGCATACCTAAATACAAAAACTGAACGAACAAATGGCGGATTTCTTTAATGTCCTACCATAATCTTGTTAAAGATAAAGCGGTAGGAGATATATAGTTTAAAATAAAGAACCTTTGACGATAATAAGTGTATACTTCAATATCAATTTTTCTTACAATACAACACTGACAAAACAATAGCTGGTCGCTAAGCAACGGACTACATAGTGTTGTCCTAATAAATCTATCGATAAGTCATTATCGACATGAAACATTTAATTAATGTAGATTAATATTCCATTTGGGAATATTTTAGGTGTTTGACACAGACTAACGTAATGCTATCTCTTTTGGCTTAAGACGGCACGCAATAGTTAAACAAAGACAATAACATGTTTATGTTTTCGACGTCGAATTGCATCGTATACATATAACGTCTGATTTATATATGTTAACATATCATGTCTTTTAGTTTCCATAGTCTAAGCCAGGGATGCACAGACTTATTAAGACTAGGGGCCACTCGGGCAAAGCATGAATTGACGGCGGGCCGTCAGAAGTATAGGTAATTAAAGACAATAAAGAATTGATAATAATGTATTAAAATTGAAAAATAATTTATTAATTTGAAGCGTGGCGTGCATAGTGCTTACAATCTTTTTTATATTTGGCTCAAATTTACTTGTAGCAACACGTAAAACTGCTTCCAAACTTTCATTTGCAAAAGTCAATGTTTGCAAGGCGGTTTCGATTTTTTGTTTTATTATTATTTAGTATTGGAAAAGTTTGTTCACATATATAGGTAGAACCAAATAATCTGGCACATTTCAAAGCGTTTATGCGCAACTCTTTGTACATATTTTTATCAATGCAGTGGTAAAAGTTCAACAAGTCTCCTTCGTTGAATTTGTTGCGTAAATCTTGGTCGTTTTGAATGTCGATAATTTCTAACTGCATTGACTCTGGCGCATTTTCAACTGAAATCGTGAAAGGATTGCTGAATATGTCCAACAGAGGTTTCACTTTTTTAAAGTCCGAAAATCTGTCTTGAAAAGATTGAATCAAAATATCTAGCTTTTCTACATAACTGAAATTAATCGCAGTTTTGTTGAATTTTTCGGCCATTTTCTTATAATTTGGAAAATGATTGTAATTTCCAGAATTCAGTTGCGATCTGAAAAGTGTCAGCTTGCATTGAAAGGATGATACATGCGCGTAAAGCTGGGATATCAGTTGATTTTTGCCTTGAAGCCGTGTGTTCAAGACATTCAAATGATTTGTAATGTCAACTAAAAAAGCCAAATCACACAACCAACCAGGATTTTTAAGTTCCGGGAAATCCCTTTGCTTTTCCGCCAGAAATATTCCAATTTCTTCTATTAAATTTAGAAATCGTTCCAGTGTTAATCCACGACTTAGCCACCTTACTTCTGTATAAAACAGCAAATCTCCATATTCGCTTTCGATGTCATCAAGGAATTGTTTGAATTGCCTGTGATTGAGTCCTCGTGATTTTATGAAATTTACAGTCGAAACTACCACTTTCATGACATTTAGAAATTTAATTTTTTTAGAACAGAGGGCTTCTTGGTGTATAATGCAGTGAAACTGCATGAGATCTTCAGCGTTTATGTTTTTTTTTGCAGACACTTTTTTAACAAAGTAACTAGCCCGGAATTGACACCAATCATAGATGGAGCACCGTCAGTCGCAGCTCCCGATAGTTTTGATAAGTCCAAACCAGTTTTTGAACACTTATCCAAAAGTACATTGCATATATCAACTCCTTTGGTTTGACCTTTCAATGAACACATTCCTAATAACTCTTCTACGACTTCAAAATCTTGAGTAACACCTCGTATGAATATGAGTAGTTGAGCTGTGGAACTAATATCAGTGGATTCGTCGAGTGCTAATGAAAAAAATTCAATGATCTTAGTTTTTTCAGTTAATTGTTCCGCAATATTACCTGGCAAAGACATACTTCGTCTTTGGATTGTCATACGATTCAGTTGAATTTTCTCAAACTTTTTTGCTGCTTCTGGACACATTTTCTTAGCGGCAATTTCTATGCATTCTTTTACAAAATTCCCATCATTGAAGGGGCGACTTCGCTTCGAGAAATTTCATAACTAACTTCTGTAGCTGTTTCTGAATCTTGAATGAGTTTTTTAGGTCCTGGCTTGTCCATGTTGCGTTCTAATCCTGTCTAGGGTTAACACTGCACCTAAAAACAATTACAGTACCTACTTAAATTACCCATCCTTTTTTAATTTACCAAAAATAATTGATTAAATAGGTAGGGAAACATTTATTAATAATAGAGTTTTACTTACGATTTCACAACACAATTATACACGGCACTTGACGGGTTAACACTGCAACAGGAAATCTACGTTGAATTTGGATCAAAATATATGACACCGGCTAGTCGCATTAAAATCTACACTAGAACTATTGCCTTCCGAAAACACTATTAAATTGCTTCTTTCTGTTGACACTTCACTCAAATTAATACCGAACTGTCGGTCGCTGCGGTTAGCGTGGCTTTTATACCGCGCGTAGAGTCGAAAAATCTCGAAACCAACTCTGGAAGCTTCGTGTATCTACGCGAGCAATCGGGCATTCGGGACTATTGCTATCTCGCTTGCTCACACCGCGTTAGAAAATTCTTGATTTCTCTACTATTTTGAACTTTATATAACGACGGCAAGCGATGTTACTTGACAGTATTTTTGGGCGCTTGAAGCGGGCGGCGTCATTTCATTCATGAACTGGCGCGGTATTTGAATAGTTTTCATAAGTTTTATGGACGTCGCTCACAATATCAAAAGAAACAAAGTACTTTATAATTATCTATATATAATTATATTATATTACTTTGTAATAATCTTAGTAATTATAATAAAACAGTTTTACCAAATTTAACACCAACAATATAACCCGTGGATAAACCGCCACCGCGCTCTCAAGAAAACGAATTTAACCGAGATCAGCACGAACATTACCGACCGCTGTTACCGACGCACGCACGGCGCACCAATAAGCGCACTTAATACCGCGCGCGCGAAATTTAAATTACTTTTGGAACATATTTTTTTTTGGTTTTATTCTGGAATAGAATTCAATATTTTTCGAATGTACGAGAGTATTATTTTGCTGTCGGCGGGCCACCAGTAATTCACCGGCGGCGGGCCGCATGCGGCCCGCGGGCCGCGGTCTGTGCATCCCTGGTCTAAGGTCTTAGAGGATGAAAAAAGAAGTTTTGGTCATTCATAATGTCATCGTCAATTGTAACGACGGAGTTAACACTTTAAAAAGAACAATAAACTAAACTAAACATTACTTACTGTGCTATTTACATAACTAAATAATGATATATATGTCGACCTATTTACAAGGAGATCCTGGACAGAGCGCGGTACCGAATCTGGACTACCGTATATTTTATTAACTCATCCATCAGCACAACGCGCTGAATGCCGAAAGATGGGCATTGGAAGATTATGTGGTATATAGATTGCTCTGCTTGAGAGTCACAATGATCACAATGTGGACTGTGAACCGTTTTCAAACAGTAAAGATCATAGATTTTCGTATCCTGTATAATTCATATTTTAAACTAAAGATTTTATACGGCTCTTACGACTTCAAGGATCTTACACTGAAGAATTAAATCGAAACATATCTGCTGAAGAAAAAAAGAAACTAATGACTAGGCAGTATGGTCTCTGACCTTCGCCTGTTCCAAACGGAACGAAGGAAAAAAAAAACAGTATCAGGTGATTGTCAAGTTATTTTGACATTCGTGGCACAGACTAACTATAACTACGTTACTACGTACTACGTGACAATTCGTGGTCGCGTTTTGTGTCTTGCTTCTATTTTCCGGTTATAATACCTATTGTAATAATGCTAAAACGAGGTAATTAATTTCAAGCGCACGTTATTAACTGTGTGATATCGTTGTAATTATTATTGTTTGTGTTTTTTGATTAAATAATTGTAAAATACGATGAATGACGTGAAGTGTGAACACGATGCGATTCATCCACGATTTCGATCGAAACCTGATATTTATCGAAGTGGTACAGTATTCAAAGTTGTCTCGATTAAACTAACATTATTAACTTTCATGTCGTGCTAGTATTTTAGCGCTCTATCCTCTCTAACCACACTTAACTTTCCGAATGTATTTTTATTTTTCTATTCTACGCTTAAAATTTAAACATAGATGTATAAATATATAGGTAAGGTTACCAGTAGACTGCCACAATCATAAGTATAATACAACTGTTATAAAATGCATACATATTATTACCGTTGTCATGACCTATTATATATTTCTTTTAATAAAATCATTAATATTTACACACGTACACCAGGCACACATAGACTTTTAGCAGCAATAGAACTCCTTGTGAAAGAGTTTGTCCAGGGAAGTACTGCCACCTTAACTATTACTGCCACCAAGTAATGCTAACATTACTGCACTTTGGTTTAGAATGGTAAGGGTGCTGGTGAAATTACAGGCACATGGGACTTGTAAACTTGTCTCAGGTTGACGGGTGCTGTGGCAGTATGGACAGGCATGTAGCTTATAAATTTATAATAAAAAAAATCTTAATGTTTATGTAAGTTTGAAACAACTCTGCTTATGCTATACTGTGCTCTGATAATGCATTATCTGTTTTGAATTTGTGTAAATGTTTATTTTTATATTAGCAGGAACAAGACGTGATAACAAAAGATAATGCCTCCGGTTTTTCTTCTTGCTGAATAATTACATTAAATTACATTACATAAGACAACATCATAACATACTAAGTATGTCGGATATTGTCATAGAGCAAATCTCTATGGCTATATGTAACATATCTCTTAATACTTGAACTGGTCAAAATATGGGTAAGATCTGCCGTTACCAAAATACTCCACCACCCCTAAAGAACAAACAAAACACTTTCAGAGTAGATTATAATAAATTTCATGGTAATTAAATAATTATTAATACAAAAATCGAACACTTAGATAAAATTCCTTAAATCCAGCCAAACATGAACTAGTATCTCCTAGTAAACCATGCTAGATGCTTTGCCAACGAAGCATATAAAGTAATTGAATATCAATTATGAATTAAAAAATTATAAATTATATTCAATAAAAACTCAACTAAATTTGTAACTTTCTTTATATTTGTTAAAATTTTTATAGATCTGGAAAAAATAGTTTTGTTTCCAATGTGTGGCAATAGTGAAAACCTAAGACCTCATTAAAATTTTATAGTTAAAACTGTTCGCCAATTTTTATTTTTATTTCATTTTAGTGGAGATAAAAAACAAGATCATGGTTGATTGAATCCTTAAACATTTTTTTATTTCTTTTTCTTCGAGTATATACACCGTGTGTGGTGTAGTTATTTTGAAATTATTTAGATCAGGGATGAACTAAGGGTGCCAAAGTGGGAGGGCCCACTGATAGTACTATTTTATTTATTACAGTAAAATTTAGTAATTATAGTCGGAAACCTCCATTATTGAGATTTATTTCGAAGTTTCTCACTTCCAAATACTGGAAAGTGGGTAAATAAGACCCTCTTAAATATTAGTCTCTATCTCTGTCCCTATGATTGCAGTTATCCAAATTTTGGAATATAAGAAGGCTTTTTTGTTTAATTTCATATATTATTTCATAAAAAATATTGTTACAGCCGTGAAAGTTGCCCTTGTGCAAATGCACGTGTGCGAAAAAACGGCGAAAAATCTTGAGACTGCTTCAAGGGAAATAGTCAAGGCAAAGGATAAGGGAGCCCAGCTTGTTGTGCTACCTGAGTGCTTCAACTCTCCATATGGGACAAGTACGTATATAATTTAATTCTTATTATTTAATTTTTCATAATATTTTTGTTTTGTCGTTGTAAATTTTAAATTAAATTTAATTCCGAAAAACTCAGTTGTGCGAGCCCAGATTCGAACCCCCTGCTTGAGAGGCAGTAGGTCAAACCATTAGGCTACCACGGATGATAAAACCTGAATGTCGAAGAAGGTTCACAACCTCGTAAAAATTGGGAAGTCCCCAACCCGGATTGAGCCAGTGTGGCGGACTATGATCTAAAACCTTCGCCTGAGAGGAGACGCTTGCCCAGCAGTGGGACGTATAAATGAATTGATGATTATTATTTCATTTTAATACAAAGGTATTAAATTACTTTTCACAGGCGTCATTTGCAACTTCAATAACCAACAGTATGAAGTTTTAATCACTTTCAATATATTTTCCAGAATACTTTAAAGAATACGCAGAAGAGATACCAAATGGGAAATCGTGTACAGCATTAGCAAAATTGGCTAACGAGTTAAGCTTGTGCATAATAGCCGGTACGATACCAGAAAGAGAAGGCGACAAGTTGTATAACACATGCACTGTGTGGGGAAATAATGGTGAACTACTGGCTAAACATAGAAAAGTAAGATTTGTAAGAATTCTATGGTAGTTAGGGATAAATTACAAATAAATACATTACTATTTAAGTGAGCACCAACATAGCTTTGTTAAAGAACGATCGACAATAACGAATTTGCGGAAATGATATTCAGATCTATTGATTCTCACCATCAAATCAATGTCATATATACGGATCTTAGTAAGGCCTTCGACAAGGTACCACATAATATACTATGTAAAAAACTTTCAGTTTATGGCATTGGTGGTTCTTTTTACAAATGGCTGAAATCGTATTTGGAGGATAGATTATTTTATGTAGTCATCCACGGTTATCGTTCTCAGTTGCAACGAGCAACATCAGGCGTGCCCCAGGGCTCACACCTGGGACCAATTTTATTTAATATATTCATAAACGATCTTCCATCGACTATTAATAGTTCTTCTCCTTTTGTGTACGCCGATGACTAGAAAATTTCTAGGGTCATTTTAAGTGACAATGACTCAAAGCTTCTTCAAACTTATTTAAATAATGTGATAGATTGGTGTGACAGCAATGGTATGGAGTTGAACGTTGCAAAGTGTACCCACATTAAATTTACTAGAAATCTTTCACCTATCTCCACTAATTACTACATAAAAGGGACACTTCTGGTTGAGTCTGATATGGTTAGAGATATCGGTGTGATACTTGACAAAAAATTTACTTTCGTGCCTCATATTGATAAAACCATAAAAAGTGCCTCTCGTATCTTAGGTTTCTTACTCAGAACCTGTAAAGTGTTTAAGAGTCCAAAAACAAAGTTAATACTTTATAACACCTTAGTCCGTAGTATTCTGGAATACTGTAGCACTGTGTGGCGTCCAAATTTCGCCACTTACTGAGATTGGAGAGGATACAGAAGAGGTTTGTGAATCATTTAGCGTTCTACACTGGACAAGCTACAAAACTTCGTTCATATAAATCTAGACTCACAAAGTTCCAAATGCTGTCGTTGAAGAAGCGACGGGACATTTTGGATATGATGTTTTTATATAAATTATTAAATAATCAAATTAAATGCAGTTCAGTTTTAAACCTTATATCATTTAATGTTCCCCATGGACTATCTAGATTATACATCAAGGCTCTTTGCAAGCCTTTTCGCAGGACTGTGTTAGGCGCGAATTCTCCCATTGCTAGGCTTTGCCAGTTCTACAATGATCACTACGCAACGATTGATTTACACTACTTCTCTGCAGTAAGAACCAAGCGCGAAATGTCGTCACCTTCCCAAAACTTTGTCACCTAATTTCTTTTTTATGCTTTCGCTTAGTCTTAAGATATTAACACTATTTGTTTTTGTAAGTGATTTATATAGTTAAATTAATGTATACACTTTTCTTTTTATAAGGTTCTTTTTACTCTGCAATAATTTATTGTGCACTTAGTTTTTAATTTTTTATTGGTGTAAAAATTGTTGACTGACCAAATAAAATAAAAATACCGGTCCTGGCAGTCGTCGGTACTATTGTGTGTGTTCTAAACGTATCAAGAATGTTCATTCCTTGTGCTGTAATCAAATTGCTGGTAGCATAAATTAATTTGCAAATAGTTATTCTTTGGTGAGTGTTGCCACTATAAACAAGAAATAAAAAATCAAAGTAAACTGAATTACACTAACAAACCTGTTTTAGAAGTTTACGAGATATGTATTTTTAGAAGCAGATATGGATAGATCAAAATGTTCAGTAAGTTCTCTTTTTATCACAGGTCCATCTATTCGACATCGATATTCCTGGACAAATGACGTTCAAGGAATCGGAAGTGCTCTCGCCGGGAAATAAGATCACCACATTTGAGTATCGTGGTATTAAAATCGGATTGGGCATTTGCTATGATTTGCGATTCCCGGAAATGGCTCAAATAATGTCCAACGATGGTAATACATTACTACGTTACAAGGCAACAGGAAATAAACGATTACTGGATGGGTGTAAATTAGAAGATCGAACAGCATTGCACTATACTTAACTAAACGAAGTTTACCGTAAAATTTAATATCAGAATATGATAGTACGGGGTACATACACCGTTTCGCTATTCGGATCTCAAAAACTAATTACGGGCTTTGCACGGGCACTGCTTTTTATGTACCTGCCGCCTACTGCTTCTTCATAGAGATGTATCAACAACATTTTGATAGAATTCAAGACTTACATTTGAACAATTTATTTTGAATAAACACTACCGCATAAAAGCAGTGATAATTTTGTGTGCTATGCTATTTAAGTTCTGTCCATGAACGGGTTAATGTACTAGTAGCTTCCAATATAGGTCAAGGTTATAGTTTTATCTACCTCCGTGGCCGCACGGTTACCATGCTAGGCTGCCACGCAGAGGTCTCGGGTTCGATTCCCGGGCCGAGAGAAATATTTGTACGGCCTACATTTGTTTCTCTCGTGAGTTAGGGTGTAATTTGTGGTTGCCTGTGTGTGTCCATAGCATCCGCGATACAGGGTTTCCCTTGTGCGGGCCTATGAGTGTGTGCGTTATTATTATTATTATGAATATATATATATATGGATAGTTTAAATGTCAATTAACGTAAGGGACATTGGCTGGTTTTCAGGTCATGCAAAATACTTTTTTAAATATTTATATTAAAAAACTCAACTGTCTCCCTACTGCTATAGATGCTTTGTTCTTTAGCACAAAGCATAGGTAGGAAATTGGACATAATTTGTTCTACCTAACTTGTTCTAACATGCTTTGTAAATATTTTTTTTATAAAAAGTTTTGCATATCCTGAAAACCAGGCAAATGTCCCTTACGTCAATTGACATCTAAACCATGGTATATTAGTTTGTTACTATTACCTATTTTCAGGTTGTGCCATCTTAATCTATCCGGGTGCATTCAACCTCACCACAGGCCCCAAACATTGGGAGCTACTTGCTCGATCACGTGCTAACGATAACCAGTTGTGGATGGTTTTGGTCAGTCCTGCTCGGGATAAGAGCGCCTCCTACGTTGCTTGGGGCCACAGCATGGTTGTGGACCCATGGGGGCAAGTTGTGGAGCAGTTGAATGAGAAACCTGGTATTTTATATGCCGATATTGGTGAGTGTTTAATGTTGATTTGACGTGTATTACAGATATTTATTTTTCATTGTCTCGTTACGGCAAAAAAATTGCAAAACCTTGTTTACAGTTCTGATTAATACTTCAATTTGTTGACCAGTCAATGCTCAGTCTTTTAGATCAATTGGAACACAAAAAGTTATTTTTCTAATATCAAGTGACGGGACGAACAAGTCGTGCACCTGATGGTAAGACACACGCTTGTCCATAACAATTGCAGTGCTACTCAGAGCTTTAAATCGCAAAGGTCTTAGAGGTACTGCCCAGTGGCAGTAAGGCGCAGTCGCCTTGAGACATAAGTTGACAAGTCCCATGTGCCTGTAATTTCACCAGCACTTACCCTTTAAAACCGGAACACAATAATGCAGACATTACTGCTTGGCGGCAGAAATAGGTAAGGTGGCAGTACTTCCTAAGACGATCTCTTTCACAGGAGCCCTACTAATGTACAAATGTCCATACATAAACTTTACAGAAAAGTCAACAAAATAAATATGTAGCAAACCACGTTAATTTTGTTTACAGATTTAAAAGCAGTAGATGAAGTAAGAACAATGATCCCGATAAGGAATCAAAAGAGAAATGATCTGTATTACATTGGTAACGGTAACGGGTGCAAGTAAATATTCAATATTAGAACAGAAAATGGTGACTGAGATGAAGTAGCGTTGGGTTATTGTCCGAAAAAATACAAATGGTGGAAATTTTTGAAAATATTTTTCAGAACAAAAAGACAAGTATAGGAAAATACACTCGCGAGCAACCAAACCGACTCAGACCCTACACCTGCATACAAAGTAGTTTTTATCAAAAACTACCCAGTCAATTAATAAAAATGTCTTATTTTCTGATAGCCTGAAACTTTAGCTTTAAGATGGTCTCATTAGCATAAAAATCGATTGCGTGGTTTTTGAAATAATGGTAATAGAGTTAACAATTAGGGAAAATAGGAATTTAGAAAAATAATTTATGGAGATTCTTATTTAAATTAAAACAAAATAATAATAATAATAATAATAAATTTATTTAATTAATATTTGGTGTTACCCCCTCTAGCCCTAGTAACAGCTTGTAGTCGATTTTTCATTGACCTGATTAACTTCTTAATAACTTCTTGAGGAATTCCGTCCCATTCCTCTAACAACGCCGTCTTGAGCTCATTGATGTTTGAAGGTGCCGATTTCTGGCTCGGACCCTTCGTTTGAGCTCGTCCCATAAATGTTTGATGCCATTCATGTCTGGACTAAGCGCTGGCCAGTCCATGGTCTGTATACGGACTTCTTCCAGAAACCGCTTAGTTATACGCGAAGTGTGACACCGGGCATTATCGTGCATCAATAAGAAGTTATCGCCGACAAACCCCGCGTACGGAACAACATGTTCTAGGAGTATATCGGTAATATACCGATCGGCTGTCAATCCTCCTCCTCGGCCCCCCCAGGCACGAAAACGAGTTCGGTTTTCTCGTCTAAAGAAATTCCAGCCCACATCATACAAGAGCCGCCGCCATATGCAACAGTTTCAGCGAAACAGCACTGTGAAAATCGTTCACCTGGGCGCCTATACGCCCGACCTCTTCTATCACTGCCATGCAGACACATTCTGCACTCGTCAGTAAACAAGACAGCCCGCCATTGCTCGTGGTTCCAATTGAGGTGCACTCTAGCAAATTGCAGGCGCGCTTGTCGATGGCTTGGCGTCAATTTCGGACCAGTTGCAGGACGTTTTGGTGTAAACTTGCCTTCCCTCAGGCGTCTTCGAACTGTCCACTCGCTTACAGCCACTCCTCGAACACGTCTTAGCTCTTGCTGTACGTCGACACCAGTCAGGTGGCGATTTCGTTAAGATGTAGAGACTATGAACCGATCGTCGATTTGAGTTGTGCACCTGTGACGGCTGGTTCTCGGCCTCCGGTCGAATACACCAGTCTCTAGAAATCTTCTGTATACCCTTGATACAGCAGATTGGCTTAGGTGCAGTTGAGCAGCGACAGATCGCTTACTAAGTCCCTGTTGCAAAAGAGCAAAAACTTGAACGGCTTCTTCCGGTGTTGTATCCATGGTTTTGTCAAAATAGTGATGGCGATTCACGGAGATGCGTTCAGGTCAACTTCTGGAAAGCGACTGTAGGCATAAGCCACGTGCGGGAGGTTTCATAGGGTTAGTTGGTCGCCCAACTCGTACTGGGTACCGCGAGTAAATTTTCCTGTACTGCCTATTTTATTTTATTTTTTAAAAACTACTGAATCGATATTGATGCTAATGGTACATTTTTAAAGCTGAAGTTTCAAGCATTTTAAACATATAACGTTTTTATAATTCGGTTGTAAACTTTTTGATAAAACCTACTCTGAATGCGCGCTTAGACATTGAGTCGGTTTGGTTGCTCGCGAGTGTAGATTTTCCTATGTATATGGTAAATATTCCTTGATCCAACACTAGGATTCAGTTTATTCGATTTGTGAAGCCTTGTCTATCTACAAGAAATATTTTTTTAATATTTAGTGATATACATATTATAAGATTGAAGCTATCGGATGCCAGAATGTATTTATTTTGAATAAATTTACATACATATTGTTTTATAAGAATGTGATTTAATACAATACTCTTTATGTAGCACAAAATATATATTTTTTGTTATAATATTATAGTTTTGACTTTGTAATTGGACTGCGCAACTTATCCCACCATTGACTGAGATTATCGAGTACTTCTGAGGCACATCCCCAGAACAGTGTCAATCCACTGCCACCTGTAAACGTAAAACAAACTATAAATCATATGTATTATACCTACAAAAGGCTAATCGCACAGATCACTAAATCACCACATAGGAATGAGGAAAGAATGCTCAACTTCAATACCACCTACTTCATGTTGTGGAGGTGGAGAGCCAGAAGGTCGGGGTGGAAAGAAACAGAGTGTTAGGAAGTGGTAGAGTAAGCAATGTACGTGTAGTGTGAAGGTGAAGATAGGAGAAGATGGAGTTGGAGGCCTCTGCCCTCGACTCTTGATGACTGAGGACAGAGGTGCAGAACCGAAGAGCAGCGAGGTTGTAAGCTGAATAATGCCTGTAGAGCGGAACCAGGGGGCAGCGAGGAATGATGACGAGACGGCGGTGGTAGTGCAGCAGTGGATTATATCAATTTGTACTCGGAGGTGGAGTTCTACTTCATCTTGACCGTCGGCTTCAGTTACTTCTGCCGCTCCAAACTCGCTTGGAGAAGGTGAGGCACACAGTCCAGGTAGGAGGAGCGTAAACGTGAAGACCAGGTTTAGCATGAGGCAATCGAGGAACTGGTCATGAGGAAGGCGCGTAAGCGCGGTAGGAGTAAGGCCAAGTGTAGGGAATCGAAAAGGTGAGATTTCGTACATTTACGAGATCTGGTGAGGACCAGATGCCTCCAAGGTCGGTACAAGAATGACGAACGTTTGGTAGAGCGAGCGAGAGCATCGAAATTCGAATAGCCAATTTTGAATTTGAAATGAGGAGCCAAAATATGGGCGGTCAGAAGCGGAAACGCTTCCACTGCTAAGATTGCATATCAAAGGAAAAGTAATTTATAGAATAATCTGTGGAAGAATAGATTGTAGAGAGGTAACATATCTGTCAATCAATGTCAACATACTAAATACGAAATAATAAAACTCACAGGACATTGGCGAAATCGCCATTTTTTGTATAATTTTTATAATAATACTAAACTACCGTACATAGTTATTTTTACTTGACATTGGCAAAATCATTGATTATTTCGATGGGGCCATAACATTTAAAAGAAGAAGAAGATTATTTAGCTTAACTATATTATATAATTTAGCTTAACTTCGCTCGTTGTGTGACCTTTCGTTAATACTTGCCATCGTGGTGAAAGGATTTGCGATCGGTGTAAAACTTGTCAGGGTGCGCAAGACGTACAGGAAACAAATGTTACGTTGTGCGGAGAGGCTACTTTGATGCACTCACCATCATGTTAAGCAGCTTGTAGCCTTGTAAATTTTTATTCTATGTATGTAGGTTCTATTAATAATTTTTAGGCATTTTGTAAGTTTGTAGACCACCGCAAACATAGATAACGTTAAAAAATAGCTTCTTCAAAATTTCTCCTATGACACTTAAAAATTATACTTAATGTTACTAAACGTTCTCACCATGACCATAATTGTGAATGTACAATTTTCCATCGCACTCTTCCAACTCGATGCGAACCTCATCTCTGCCGGGGCGCAATCCGACCCATGCCTTTACGATTTTTGCGTCCTAAAAAAATGTTTATGTACCTATTGATGGTAAATCAGTAATGTTAGCTTTAATGTTAGATTTAATTCGCTCTATTGTCAAACTCATCTTGGTCTTACTGTGTATGTAAAGTCAACCAACAGTATAAAAAAAACATTAAAAAACCATGGACTTACAATTATATGGACGTCGGGTCCGCGCTAAAAAGTGTCCGAACTTATAGGGCGTTAAAATCGTATACAGAGCGTCATTCACGCTTTAGTCTTCGTTTGTTCGACTGACAGGGAAGCAAGCAAAATTAGACAGTACTACGATGACATTACAATTTAAATTCAACGTTTTAGCTTTTTCATATTCCTTTACATGTCACTACGTTTAAATAGGTTGACTTGGGACATTTTTTTCGTGGTTTTTGTATTAGACCCGTCGTCCATTCATTTGTAAGTCAATGAAAAAAACCTTAAAAAAAAGCGATCCTTTGTTGGAACTGCCCATATTGACCCCCACCGTGTTTCCCTAATGCGGCCCTGTTCAAATTGTTTTGTACTTACAGTTAAACTTGGAATAATAGTTCTACATCCGTTTAGTATGAAATCAGTATCTTTTTCATCTAGTTTAGTATTAAAGTCTTCTTCTTGATGTGTACCACCTAATACACATGTTTCGGCACTGAAACCAAAATTAGAGTGCCCACGTTAATTCACGACAACTAAAGTAATTTGTTTATTTAATACCCAGTAATTAAAAATAATAAAGGTGGGCTCATATTGAAGAAAAATATCTTAACCATATTCATATATTACCTTATCTACTTTTGCCGCCAAGCAGTAATGTGAACATACTGCGTTCTGGCTTTGAAGGGTAAGGGTGCTGGTGAAATTACAGGCACAAGGGACTTGTCAACTTATGCCTTAGGATGACGGGCGCAGTGGCAGTGCCCCTCGATTTAAAGCTCTGAGTGGCACTGCAACTGTCAAGGACAGGCGCGCTTACCATCAGGCATACGACTTGTTCGTCCCGTCATTTAGTATTGTAAAAAAAAACATAAAACTTACTTCGGTATAATGTAGTGGCCACTATTGTCGTCTATCACAGTAACGTTGATCCACGGTGCTGCCACCTATTTTACAAATTAGACTATTATAAATGTTTCTTCAACTGGGAAGTATTTAAAGTGATTATATTAGTAGCAGTAGAGTTCTTTATGAAAGAGTTCGTTCAGGGAATTACTGGCACTAATTAGATTATTGAGCATCACTGTGTTCCGGATTTAAACTGAATGGAAGGTTTTTTTTATAATATCAACTGACGGGTCGAACAAGCCGTGCGTCTGATGGTAAGCCACACGCCTGTCCATAACAATGGCAGTGCCACTGCGCCCGTCACCCTAAGACATAAGTTAACAAGTCCTGTGTGAAACTTGTGTATACTTTTTGTAACGAAATTGTACTTAGCACAGGTAATGAATTCGATACGTCAATTGTGTAACCAACTTCGCGAGAAGCCACGCGACCTGTTTTTTGGCTCGTATTCACATTGTACATTATACAACTGACATATAAACTTCAAATTTGGTATAGTTAAAAAAATTAACTTCCATTCCGTTCCGCAGCAATGTAAATTCTGCCTAAGGGTTTTTAGGGAAACCACAGACACATGAGACGTGTCAACTTATGGCGCAGGGTGACAATCGCAGTGACAGTGCCCTCAGATCTTTTCGATTTGAAGCATAAGTGCCACGGCAACTGTTATATCTAGGCGTGTTGCCTAATACCAAGCCGACGACTTGCTCGTCCTGTCTTTTGATATCATAATAAAAATATAGGCCCATAATAATAAACAGTTCCTGAGATGTCACTCTCTCATCCTAAGAAGTGTTTAAATTTTTGTTTCAATGACAAATCATTTACTCCATAGAAAAAAATTGACACTTGAAAACGTCATTTTTTAAGCTACTTTTTAAGCTAATGCTCGTTCACTACGCTGACCTCTCTGAGAAGAACGAGCGAAAAACTCTAGGGATTGCTCATTTCAAATACCTAAACTTAAATGCTGTGGAATACACTTTGAATCAAATTTGTGTGGATTCTGGAATTTAATCCTGGAATTCTGGCAGCTGCTTCTGGGAATGAACACTAAACTACTAAATATTAAAAGCAGTCGTGTTACGGTTATTCAGTTTGAGTTCGGTTGTATAGCAGATTCCTCACTCGTATGAAAGCACCTCGTGCCTGTTCGAAGTTGTACAGGGCTATTAGTAAAATATTATTAACACCTATATTACTAACATCATTAACAACTTTTGTTACATGACTTTTGACAATTATTTTAGATTTTACTTTCGTACAAAAATAAAAATATCTTTAAACGGTGGCTTAGAACTAAATCCAAACTCATAGTACCACGATTTCGTTTAACTAACGAAAACGATTCTGTTATGGGGAACTGTATACGTTTCTACAGTAAGATTCCGGAGAACAAATTAAGATTATAATTTCCTAAATATTTTTTTTTTTCAATTAAAAGTATTTTAATTGAAAAGTCACATTACAAAAATAAAGAGTATTTGTTAGATAAAGATGTATGGGAAGACAACATGATTCGATCCAGTACGGGAAAAATTCAAATTCGATCTAAAGTAGTATCGACACTTAAGTCTTTGTGATTTAATTCTTACCACCACCACCTTACCTATTTCTGCCACCAAGTTGTGACCAGCGGCGGGTCCGAACATGCCGCTACAGGGCCACGAGCCGTGGGAAGCCGCCTTGAGTGTACCAACAAAATGAACTGTAAATTGTCTGCAATGAATGATTTTTATATTATTTTGTATATTTTCATATCATATTACCTTAAAAATCTGTCCCCGAATAGGAAACACTCTTCTGTCTGGTACCATTTCCCTTGCACCTAGTCCAGTACAATTGACAACCACTTGATATCCATTCAGTAAAGGGTCACGTAGAGATTTAATCTTAACTTGAAGCACTTTTCCTCCCACGGCCTTGAACCGATCGAGAAGATACGAGATAATTTTTGGAGGCTGCACTACGAATGTTGTGAATACGTGTCCGGAACTGAAAAATGTAACAACGGTGTTTTGCAACAGCGGAACGTGAAAATAATACAAAATTTATAACAATGTGTTATTTGATGCAATTTGTGTTGCATATTTAATATCGAATTAACTTTTTAGTACACAGAAAATTTATTACAATAACATCTGCTAAAAGATGAAAAAATGATTTCCCACGGCTCGTGACGTCACGCCACAGGCCCATATACGAGTAAGTAAACAACTTTACATAGTTTTGGTATCACCACGGTATCAGAAAGAAGTTTATTCACTGAATTTGAAACACTACACACACTTATATCGAAAATTACAACTAAAAAGAAAACAACAAGTGACTTATTAATTTAAGTTAGTAAGTGTGCGTAGTGGCTCAAGCGAGGAAAAGGATACGACTCAGCAATATGTCTATCTCGGTCGAACAGACGCTGATTTTCAGTCGTTCCTGTATCGGCGTCGACTGAGTCCCGAGGAAATGGTGCATGTATATCCTTCCTTTTAAGCCACACTACACATTTACGACACACGTATATATTTAAATAAAAGTTATAAATATATGTAAATATCATTAATAAGTTGGGAACATCCGGCATCAGAGCATAAGCTGGTTTTCTATTAACACTTTTTTTATATGATTTAGAGATCCTTTGTCTGAGTGGAGGAGGCAGATTGTTCCAGCATTTAGATGCCTGATACCGGAAACTACCCTCAAAGGCTCTTGTTTTATGAAAAGGTGTTACCAATAAAAAACGATTTATCCTGCGTGAATTATATGAATAAGTGTGCCACTTCAATTTTGAATATAGATAAGGTGGACTTTTGTATCTGACAACAGAGTGCATCAATGTAGAAAAATGCAAAATTCTTCTCGATTCCATATTCAGAATACCGTGTTGGTTTAATACAGGTGTTATGTGACTTGTCGGTGGAACGCTATAACAAAATCGTATGCAAGCGTTTTGAATACGCTGTATTACCTTTTTTGATGTGGAGAGAAGACAAGGTCCGAAAACTATATCAGCATAATTTAATTTTGATAAAATAAGGGAATCACACATTTTCAGTCTAATGTCTTCGCTGAGCAAATGACGAATTTTGTATAGCACTTTGAGTCGAAAAAGGCAAGATCTCGCAACAGACTACATGGCTCACAAATCGCAACCTGCTGTCCATAGTAACACCTAAATTTTTGGCTTGGTTAACAAATTCGACTGACGATCCAAGAATGCTAATCCTAGGATCCTGTGAAAGGACGCTTGCTATCTGGTATTTTGAACCTAGAACCATAAACTTTGATTTAGTTGGATTCAAAACCAAAGCATTGTCATTTGACCATCGGGCGATGCTATCGAGATCAGAGTTGATCCTAGAAAGGAACAGTTTCAAATCCTGTGGACGTGTGTGAATATAGATTTGTACATCGTCCGCATAAAGATGGTAATTACAATATTTCACATTTCTTATAATCTCCGCAGAGTACAAAACAAAAAGAATGGGTCCCAATATAGATCCTTGCGGCACGCCTCTATGTACACTGCTTACAGAAGATCTAGCGATATGGCCGTTCGACGCCTGGACTTTGACAATTTGAGCTCTATTTGTCAAGTAACTATTGATTATCACCTAGATTAACTTGCAATACTCACCTTAATTAAACTTATGTAAACATATAATAATTTCACTGTTTGCGATAGAGTGGCGCATATAAGGTTTAATAAGTTTTTAGGTTAAATTTTTATTCCGAATAAATTTATCTTTATCTTATACATGCGAGACTGCGTTGGCACGGGCGGCCGCCCTCTTCCCACAGCGCGTTGGCGCGACGCCGCCCGTGGAGCCACGGGCCGAGCATTATAATTATTCATACAAAGATCGAACACAAAGAAATATTCCTTCGATCTGACAGGACTCTAACCTGTGTCTATTTAGGACAACCACTGAGCTATAAGATCGAGTCCGCAGATGTTACGAATGTTTCTACGCGTTTGTTACAGCAGCTTGATTTTGATTGCCTCTCCCGATCGGAAACTGCGTTTCTTCCGAGTCGAGGCGCATAATTGCGATTCACAACGGGCCGATGGGAAACTTTTGACATTTCTAATCGGAACAGTTGATTTAACTCACAAATTAGAAAGATATAGTAGGAATCAGGTTGATCTTCTCGCTCGGAAACCCATCAGATTTCGAGACTCGGATGGGCTACCCGATCTTATCGATTCCGATCTTTGTCTTTGGTTATAACGGTGTTTTTGTCGTAGCGCCACACGAAGAGTGTCATAAAGACTAATTTTATTCGTAGAATGTTTAAACCTCTCTCAGTTGTCATTTTGCAGATGTGGCATTTCTTTTGACTCAGTTCTAGAAAATAAATGAAACTGAAATAAAGAGAACTTACACGTAATTGTTATTATAAAGTCGATTTAGGTACTCCAACAGTCGTCCATCGATGTCGTTATAACCAAACACGTCATTAGCCCATAGTGGCCTATGCGCAAGTGCAGGCGGCACTTCTCTATTTAGCACGTAGATTGGCATCACACTGATGTTAAGACCATCTTCCAGCCACAGCTTGTGGAGGAAATGGTAAGTTTCACCACCCCATTTACTGAAAATTTAAAATATGACACTGGGTACAGGTCTCAATAAACAATATCCGACGGAGTGTTTCTCTATAGGCCCCCATACAGAGCGCCGGCGCTAGCCCATGTAAGACCCAGAGTAACCTATCACAAACTCGAATTTTTTTCCAGAATAACGTTTGTTCGAATTTTCATTACACCGAAATCCGAATTATAGCGAAACCGTTGTTCTTAGGATATGTTGGATGTTTATCGCAAAGACACGATTAGGTTCGGCTAGGTTAAGTTAGGTTTAAAAGAAAAAACATTTTCCTCTCAAAATGACTTTCGAGATTATGAAAATTCGACCAAACGTTATTTCTGAAAAATGTCATTTCGGACTATTGATAGGTAACTAACACCCAGGGATTACTCCTTACCCCAATACCCTGGCGCCCTCTAGTAGGCACGCGATCAAAATGAAATACTTACAGTTATATTTTGCCCAGTGACCGGAAATTCAGGTGCAAATTGTGTAATTACTAAAGATGTCGAGAAGCAATAGCCCTTTTATTTCGCTGGTTCTTTGTGGAGGCGTTGCGAGCGCTGCGCGGCGTCGATACTGCCCCGATTTGTTTCCACGGTCCGTCGTTTCAGACTGATCGAAACGAGTCTATGGTAGATGTTTATGTCGTTAACGATTAACTTGAACGCTAGGGAAGTAGCGACGATGGTTCGATGCGATTATCGTAACGATCGCACTCTACCTCGAGTTTATAATAGCTGTGTAGCTTTTATTACCTTTATGTCGAAAGTTGTAAGTAGGTAGGTACAGTGATAATGCAATTCAGTTAAAGTCATTGTCAAAAATGGTGGAATTTATATTTCAGAAAAAAAAAACACTAAGTACTGGGTTAAGTATTACTTTAGTTATTATTTAACGTAAATAATAATTCAGTGACAAAAAAACTAAATCATGTTTTTATACGTAGGTAGTATGTACTCAATTATTTTGAACATTATATTTTTTTACTTTTTAACCGACTTAAAAAAAGGAGGAGGTTCTCAAATCGACTGTTTTTTTTTGGTATGTATGTTACGCGGTAACTTCGGTATTTGTGAACCGATTTTCATGATTCTTTTTTTTTGGAAAGAAGGTACCTCTACGAAGAAGTGCCTGATAAAATTAAAAAAGCAAAAGTTTTTAGGGATTTATGGCCATAATACAAAGGGCAGGCGTTGGTACTGAGATTATTGACATACGTAATTTAATCAGACTGAGTTAATAATAATAATTTATTTTCAGATATTTAGAATCCGTAATATTTGTTAGTAAAACGTACTTAAAAATCTAGTGTTACAAATTATTATTAGGTATGTATTTTGTATGATGGAGATGTAAAGTTAATCGGTGAGGGTAAATGACCACGAATTGCCAGAAATGTGCAAACGCTTTCACCGCCCTAGCTTTGGGGACTCCCACGTAGGTCAATGACTCCTACCTATTTGCCAATGTGCTTAGGATGCCGTTCGAGCTGAGGCGCATGCGATTTAGCAGGTTTAGGACTTGCATTCCGGAATTCAAAAATTTCACAAGTCCAATATGTTGTAAAATATTTTTCCATATTTCAATCGTTCGATCGCTAGCCCATACAAATCGGCGCGTTTTACAACACGGTCCGTGGGAATGCACCATAACAAAAATTTGCAATTAGATTACATATATCTCTTCTGCCTACGAGTGGAGAAGTGAGAGAGAATTTTCGTGCCGCTTATTTTTGCAATCGAACACGTAGTGCACTCTCTGATAAAATGTTAAAGTTTCACTACCAGGAACAGCGCTTTCTCTAAAAAAAATGTTTAAGTTAGTCACATACGTTGTTGATTCTATTTCATTTCTTAAATTCTGATGTTGAGTGTCCAGTTTCGTAATTAGTTCCGGGATTGAAAACCTCTCGATATTGCATGCCCTACAGTGACGCCGCTTTGCTTTCTAATAGCGTAGAAATTGTCGACACGTTTATCAGCGAATATAGTTGACGCGGTACAAAAAGGTGGAAGTCGGGACAGCATCCTGAACGCATTGTTCTACTGGACAAGCAAAGTATACACCACGGTTATCAAAGAATAGTATCTATTTAAGCGACCATTCTTTTACCAAGTAACATTTTAAATGTATGTATGTAGAGTAGGGTGTTCGACAGTGAACCAAGTGTACACTATTAACCACGCCAAACAGAAACGCGATATTGGAATTTGGTGCCAATTGCACCATGTGAGCTTTCTACTATAGGCACCTCTCTCTTCCTTGTCCACAGCGAGCTAGCGGCACAGATGCCCAGCGGCGTCGATGTTTTTATTTTTTACCAAAAAAACGCGAAAAGAATGTCGTTTTGTTTGACTTGTATAAGCAATAGGTGCAAGTTAATAGATATAATAGATTAGTCATCAATGCATATTTTATTGAGGTAATTAAAATAAGCAACGTGTTTTTAGTCACGGAAAATACAATAGTTTGCTGATGATTGTAATAATCACGTCCATTGTGGCCCCTATGGTTCGTTGTGTACCAGCCCCCGGCTCAATGAGTACCATGAGGTGTGCACAATGAACCGTATCTCATTTTTTTTAAACATGGGTTTATAAGGATTGAGTGTATTTGGACAAAAATGAAGTACTACTTCATCATACCCAGTAAAATTACCTATAATTCTAAGGAAAAGTATATCATTTAGGTCCATAGATCCAGAGTTACAGCTCTTGAAAATTAAGGTGGCTCATTGTCAAGCACCTTACCCTACATACATATTTCTCTTACTAGTACTTACGCTATTCTGTCTCCCGCCGTATTCCCGATATAAAACGGATACCAGAGTCCACCTGACCCGTCGCCAGTCGTATTAGGAGAGAACTGGTCCGATATTAGAATTACCTGATTAGAATTTATTCCAAATTTAATATTTATTCAAGGAAAATATATTTTTTTATTTCTATTTTATACAGTTATATTTATACATATTTTTAAATATATAATAGACTCACGCTTGACCAGAATCTCACCTGATGCTAAGCGGCAATGTGACCGACGATGGGACCGCGTTTGCCTAAAGAATGCCTATTCACTCTAGCCTTGATTAGCCCCAAATTGTACTTTTCGGGAAACACAGATGCCGCAATGCAGCTGCTGCCAGCCGCTGATGTAGAGCATTCCATCGCTTTCCTGTTTCCTATATAATGTACAGGTATCTGCAGACTTGCTCGATTTTTTGACGATCAACATTGTGTGATCAGACAAGACAGACATTGAGTAAATGTGTAAGCCACAGACAATCGATAATGTAGTTTCGTTGATCAACACTGTGGTGGAATTGAAATTAGGCGCAAATGCCAACAAATTGGTTCGATTTTAACCTTGATATTTAATTTTATCAATCAATTGCATTGACTTACAATTATATGGACGTCGGGTCCGCGCTAAAAAGTGTCCGAACTTATAGGGCGTTAAAATCGTATACAGAGCGTCATTCACGCTTTAGTCTTCGTTTGTTCGACTGACAGCGAAGCGAAGCAAGCAAAATTAGACTTAGATTAATTTAAAAATAAGTTTAATTTAAGATTAATTTAGAAAAATTAAATTAGAATTAGAGTACTGCGATGACATTATAATTTAAATTCAACGTTTTAGCTTTTTCATATTCCTTTACATGTCACTACGTTTAAATAGGTTGACTTGGGACATTTTTTTCGTGGTTTTTGTATTAGACCCGTCGTCCATTTATTTGTAAGTCAATGATCAATTGTAATAATTTTCAAAAATGGAGCGAAACTGTAAGCACCAATAAATGTTAGTACCACGGTCTGATTACTGGGAACATTTTTGCTTTGCATATCCTTGAAGATGTACGTCGTTAATCAATAGATGACGCTGGCATTTCCTTTTTATTGACCATATAATTTTATATTTCGCAAAGGCGTGTCCCAGGAACCCAATAAAAAGAATAAACTTATAGATATGTGTATGGAAACGTACTTCCTGCGTTCGCCAACAGGGGTGATATGAGCTGATGACTCTATACCCGCTAAGTATAATGTACACTTTGGTTAGTACAGTAGTACGTACAATACTGAACCTATATAACGTATGCTGTTTTATAAAATGCCAACAAGATGGTTCACCGTAAGGCCGCAAATTCGAAACGGTGGTGTGCATTCAGCGGGGCGTTCAAGGTTTGCGCGAACATTGCGTACAATGTAATGTAATGTAAGCCATGAACGCACCACCCGTTGCGAATTTGTGGCCTTGGTGGGGCCGGCTGTAGCTGTCATTATACAATGCACACGAAAATCTCATCACGCTTGTTTGGCAAAGTATAGCTATAGCTACGTGGGGCGCACTATAAGTTTCCGGAATGAATAAGAAAAAAATACTCTAAATGGTCTGAAATGAATTTATTGTTTCTCAAAATATTATCCGTTAGCGTTAATGCACTTTTTCATGCAAATGAACCAATTTTGAAAACATTTATGCCACTCCTCCGTGATAATCTCTGAAATATATTTTTCATGCTCTTCGACACCCTCTTCAGGTGATGAAAATCGTTGACCGCGTAACTGGTTCTCAATTTTTGGAAATAAATAAAATCACAAGGTGCCAAGCCGGGACTGTACGCGGGATGGCTCAAAAATTCATTTGTTGTATGGTTGTGTACCAATCACTATTCACGGTACAACGATTCTCCAAAGCAACAGCAGCCACGTGTCCAGTTTTATTAAAAAACGAAGCAATCATCCGCTTAGAGGCGCTTTGCACGCGCGCCACTTTGGTTGGTTTCGGCTCATCTCGAAAGACCCATACGCTCGATTGCTGCTTTGTTTTGGGATCGTAACTATAAATCCATGTTTCATCACCTGTTACTATATCCCACACCAAATTTCACGCCCCGTCGTTGAATCTGGTAAGCATGGCATTGCACCAAGTGACGCGATCCGTTTTTTGAGCCCCAGTCAAATTGTGTGGGATCCACCGAGAGCACAGCTTTTTCACACCCAAATGTTTGTGTAGTATTGATTGTATTTGACTCATGCCTATGCCTAAAGATGCCCGAATCTCATGATATGTCACATGCCTGTCTATTTTGATCATACGGCGCACAGTATCGATATTTTTCTTGTTCACAGCAGTGGACGGGCGACCATCACGAAATTCGTCACTGAGATTCACACGACCGCGTTTGAATTCTGCAGACCAGCTATAAATGGTCGCCTTGCAAGGTGCTTCATGGCCAAAAGAAGTTTGAAGCCGAGCGAAGCTCCGCTGAGCTGTTACATTACACTTAAAGTCGTAGAAAATCATACTACGAAAATTTTCACGAGTTAAATCCATGGTGATGTAAACAACCAATTTCTAAAATGACGCCACAATGTAAAAACAAGTGACAGTCAGATGAAACAAACTGTATTCTACCAACGAGTTCCATTTTCAAATGTTGTAATTACTTTTTAAATATTGTTTATGTAATGGCCTGTTCCGGAAACTTATAGTGCGCCCTATGTATACGTTATTTGTTTAATTTTTTTGTGTTGCTGATGCCAAATAAACTAATCCAATTCCACAATCTACGAATAAGATTATCTAATTGGCCGATGTTGCTCAACCGATATGCACGAAATTTTAAACTAGCATGGTAAATACAATTCTACATATATAATGTGATAAAGCCCAATGTTAAATTTCGGTCTGTGACTTAAGATAATGAGGTTAAAGACCACTATGTTAAATCTCATCGTCATCATCAACCCATATACGTCCCACTGCTGGGCACAGGTCTCCTCTCAGGAGTAGCTCTTAGTCCACCACGCTGGCCCAATTCCGGTTGGGGACTTTAAATTTTTTCCGAGGATTCTGAAACATCTTGGACGTACAGATTTCGTCCCGATGTTTTCCATCACCGAAAAGCTCATGGTAAATTTCAAATTAAATTGGCACATAAATTCTGAGAAACTCAGAAGTGCCAATCCGGTTTTGAACTCACGGCCTCTGCTTGAGAGGCAATAGGTAAACCATTAGGTTAAGTCCGGTCGTGTATTGTATAAACAAAATTATGTGGAAAGATATGGGGCTGACCCTTGCATTGCTCAGGTATCCACCGCCTCGACCGTCTCCAGCTACTTGGAATGGACCTGTCGTTCAATCTGAGGTTCGGCAGATACATTGAATTCATGGCCAAAAATGCAGCCAGGAAGCTTGGCATCCTTTCCAGGGTGAGGCGTTACTTCACATCAGAACAGTTGCTTCAGCTGTACCAAGCACAAGTCCGGTCGTGTATGGAGTACTGCTGCCACCTTTGGGATAACTCTGCTACATACCAATTGGCCATCTTGGATTCAATAGACAAGCGTGCCAAGAGGCTTATAGGTGACTCGAAAATAGTACAGGCGAAGCTGCAGAACCTAGAAAAGTGCCGGAAAGTTGCCTGCTTATCAGTATTTTACGGGATACATCACGGAGAGTAAGCGATGGAATTACACGATTTAATTCCGCTTTCCCCTTTCCAACACCGGGGAACTAGGTGTAGACTTGGGTTCCACCTCTATGTTGTGGATATTCCAAAGATTCACACGAAGCGTTATGCTTCCACATTCATATAGCGAACGGCTACGGAGTGGAATTCACTGTCTGCAGACTTATTCCCTGAACGTTATAACTTGGACCTTTTCAGGGCGAGAGTGAATAGGCATTATTTAGGTGTGCATGCTCCATTGTCGACCTCATCGTCACTTTTCGTTACCACGACTTTGCGCGATTTATGTTACGTGTATGATAGAAATACTGCTGTCCCCTAGCTAAAATGCGGTTAAGTTACAAGTGGTCAAGTATCCGTTTTAAACAGCATGAACAGAGCTCAAAATTCTCTATTGAAAAACAAAGTTAGTTAACGTGTCCGACAATAAAAATCTATCTAAATAAATAAATAAAATAAATCTAAAATATCATTAAACAATTTCAATATTTTAAACTGGGTTATGGTTGTTTTATGATATCTCAAAAAAAAATTGTCACAGCTGCGTTTTACAGAGAGGACAGCCAAAATTGCACGCGTAAATATATAGAATTCTGAAAAAAAAGCAAGACTGCTGCTTATTATTTATGTTCGAGTACTTTGCAGAGTATTTTGTTTAAACTTACGTCAGCATTTTGATACTTCTCCTTAATTCTTAAGGCGCAAGTAACCCCGTTTATACCAGCTCCTAACACTGCTATTTTCACCATAATTTCCACAAGTAGGTGAACACGTAAAACAATTTTAAAACAATACTTTTGTCGGTAAAACTGAACGTCCAACCGTATACAATAATTTTGAACGTACGAGTCACTTTTTATCTTGAATAATTATGTGTCCATCCATTATCTTTATTTACTTTATTTATCTGTCAAAGGTCACTTGTCAATAGGCATAAGCACGCAAAACAACAAATTCCTTTGATTTTTTAAGGAACCTTAATAATTGTGCTTTATTCTTGTCGGTGTGACAGACTCCAGATTTTGCCATTATAGTCAAGACAAGAGCATAATATCAAGTTTGACATTTTGGAATTTCGACCGTCCTTAATGCAAGCAGCATAGAGTTGAATTTAAATCTTAAGTGTCAAGCTTGACGTGTTCTCAACACTGTACGTTCTACCTTACATAAGCTGCTAACCTTATCTACTATACTTCAATACTTCAATTTTTTAGTTATAATATTGTAATAGGTGTTTTTGAACGCCGTATTTCCAAGTATTATATCAGCTTAACTTTGAAAAGGAATTTAACACATCAGTGTTACCGTAGTTATTTATTACATATTGGGCAGTAAAACAATACACAAATTAGAAAGATATAGGATGGATGGATGAAAAATCCCAAACAGACATAGACTGCAGTACTAATTAATATGTCATAAATTATTCTAATTTCCATTATTAATTAATAATATTGTTAAATAAATAAAAAGATTATAATAAGTAAATATAAAAATCATATTGTTAAAATAAAACTCTAAAATAATTGTAGAATTTATGTAGCGTAAATTGGAATGTTTTCTTTGTAAAATTAAAAATAAGGTATTTAATTAATTACTATTCTAAGTATAGTGAAAAAATAGGGTGGTTTGCAATAATGTTAGACATAACTGGTTGATGACTTTACCATCTCAGTGAACCGTGACCATGGGACCTGTAAAGGGCCCGAAACGTCGTCGGTTTGTTTGAAAAAACAAATATACGCGATACGATAAGTAGATGGAACTTTGAAAAATGAATAAACAGATAATATTTCGTATATAAAAATACCTTTTATTGTTATGTACCACAGATTGCAAAACGTATAACTAATCACATCTTCTAACCCATTGCAAACATGATTACGTTTTAACTAAAATATGTTTTCTTATATTACACGCTGTATAATACGTTGTTACTAATACTTTTAAATCTCAATAACTTCTTGCAAACAGTCGAGTATTGTTAATTAGTAGGTACAGAATTTTTTTACAATAGTAAAGATCGGTTACATTTGGTCTTTCACGGCGACCGTCTTAGTTTGATCATTGGTCTTGGTCGTGTTGGTTTTTCCTACATTTGACAGTAGACACCTATCAAAAGTTGAATATACTGAACGAAAACTTTGAAGCCATTAAAAAGATTTTTTACCTATGATTCTTTCGTCACTGTTGTTAAATCATTTTTAATCTCGTTTTACTCTTTGCTTTTACATATACATTTGTTTATAATTTACGCTAAAAAATATTCAAAATATACAATTATCTAAGCGTAGAACATAATATGAGCCTTCGAATTATATTTTTGCAACTTTTCAGACATATTTCCACTATTTATAATTTAAAAAAAATTACCCATTATTGTGGTTACCATTTGATTGGTCGAACCCATCGAGGAAATAACCAAGAACTTTACTCAAAGAGTTGAACGGTCTATCGACGACCAATTGTAACCGCGCCCGAAGCGCCAACAAAAAAACAAATACTGTTTTGAAATTGGAATTCGAGAGAATGGTCCCCGCCTAACGTCAGTTAAAAAAAATACGGAATGGCAAGTTATTTTGCATTTACGCGCGCCCCTCTGTTACTTTTATAATTCCTAATTTTCAACAAACCACATCGAATGTTTCTCCACCCTCTACCCTGGCCTTTCACGCTGATCCCTGACGTCTTTTGGCATCTAAGAAAGTATGGAACATTCCTATATATTCAACATCATTTTAGTATAGTTGACTGTCGTGTATGTCGACAAGCACTGACTTGTGTTCATTTAAATAAAATCAATAAAGAAAATATGGGTTGTTAGTAGTATTAGGCGGTGGGGGGTTTTGCCGGCGCCGTTCCAGTCTGTTCTTGGACAAATATGGTGCGGGCTGGCGTAAATGGACGGTTCTGACGTGGAGTTTGCGCGAGTTCGACTGTCCGAACGCCTTGCCGCACACTTCGCATTCGTAGGGCTTCACGCCGGTGTGACTCTGGAAATAAATAATAATCAATGGTGGGAAAAAGGTGTTCCACATTATATAGATACATGTATAGATATAGCTACAAGGAGCGACAAAGACTTGTTAAGTCACCTTCAGCATACCGCGCCTGAGAACTTTTGAGACTTCTACAGTCGGAACTAATATATTTGTTTGCCTATCACAGCTTTCGAGTGTTCAAGACATTGACTTGTTTCAAAATCCTATCTAGCTCAGCCTGGATGTGTGGAAATAATTGTAATCTATAGAATTAATCATAATTAGATGTCGAAAATGTAAACAAAGGGGTTAACAGAGCAAAGAATACATTTTAAATGGTAGTCTTTTATTTTTGACGATAATAAATGTTTAGAACTCTTTTCAGGCTGTAATCTGATAAAACGTAGAACAATTCACATATATATTTTTACTTAATTCCGTTTAATACAATAATTATAATAAAATGACTATGTAAATTAAATGACTATGTTTTTTGTGCCGCCATTTTATCGTGTCATAGATGTCATTCGTGCTTCGTTTTCTTGTCTCCGTAGTGCGTTTGTAAGATTATTAGGTGTTGTTATTAAAGTTTTTGTTGATTGGTAATATTTTGTAATAGATAATTAACATTGTAGGAAAGAACATCCTCGTTTTTCGATTTCGTTTATCGTTTTCGTTTCGTAGGTTTAGCACACCTGCATTCACACTTTGACAATGACTTCATGACGTTTCTTTGTTTACATTTTGGACATCTAATTATGATTCATACTATACAGTCAGTGGCCGTCACTTACCCTATAATGCCGATCCAAAGCTCCTTTGCATTTGAAAGCCTTCAGACAAATATCGCACGGATACGGTCGACTCTCTGAGTGCACTTTTTCGTGCATTTGCAGGTTTGTGCGGTTGAAGAATGCCTTCGGGCATAGCGTGCATTTGTACGCGCGCTCTTCGAAGTGTGTACGTCTATGGTATACGAGGAAGGCGTTGCCCTGTACGAATGAAAATATTGTATTCACCTCACTAGCTCGGAAAGGCTTTCTTTTCATTAGAAATCTGCGCGTAAAAGCGTTTTGGAAAAGGTTTTTGACATTAGAACTTAACGATGGACTATGGTGCATCTAACTTTTTCATTTGATGAAAAAAAACATAATGACACGTTCAACTACGCGGTTTGTCGTACATTATTTATGTAATATAAATCCGTTGGTTGGTTGACATTAAATTGACAACGATAATTAATTTTGTTTATTAAATTATTTTAATTCGTCGAAGAACTAACTGATTTGTTATAGTTCAAAAGTTTTTCTTTCATCTACCATTTTCCTCGCTATAGTCAGGTGAAAACTTGTGTTTCGCTCGGCAAAACAAAGTTGTTTTGCGTCTCGTTCCTTGAAACCTTCACTTGCTCAGGTCTCAATACAAGCACTCACGTCAAACAACAACTTTGCAGCCTTGCATCACAAATAACTATTTTTCTAATTTTGCGCTAAAAAAGACTTTATTTACCGCGTTTAAGGTATAATGAAAGAACCAACCAACTAAAATTAAAAAATTAAAAGTAGGAAACATACCCGGAAACTCTTCCCGCAGATGTCGCAGACATAGTTCTTCTGGATGGGGTAGCTCTTGTCGGGGTGCACTCGACGGAAATGCACCCAAAACTCGCGCGCGTTCGGTATCACCTCGGAGCACTGAACAGTGCAAAATACTCATTTACCGTTTCGTTCGAAATTAATAGCCTACCAGTTAAGAGTTGGGAACCAATAAACATTCTTTTTCCTTAATTTTTCGGCACCTTATATTTGAGAACCAACGACGACATACAAGGTGTAACAAATATGTGCAGTTATGCCTTGAGATATTATTATGCTGTGTTGGGTTCCGATATGAAAAATATTCGCTTCCCACACATTTTGTGTCACAGCAACCACAGAGATGTATGTGAAAAGTCGAAAAATGAATTGTTTTATTATTAAGAAAAAGAAAATAGGTTTGCGTCGCTAAGTATTATACTTGTACATTTTTGTTACACTCTGATACAACTCAAAATAGCAAACGTTGGAAAAAAAATTTAAGGGTGTGTTTTCGAAAAAATATCGTCCAACTGAGTAACGTTTGTTTTTTTTTAATTAACGTACGCGATCATACCATGTGCCTGTAATTTCACCAGCACCCTTACCCTTCCAAACCGGAACGCAGTAATGCTTACATTACTGCTTGGCAGCAGAAATAAGTAAAATGTAGGTATTAAAAGATAATACTGTGTAAAAGTATAACTAACATGTTCACAGTTGGCAGGCCAGGTCATGTTGGAAGGTTTCTTGCCGTAGTTCTTGGGTCGTTTCCTGGCATGCTCCTTTCTGTGGTGCACCCTTAATTCCTCTTGGTTCTTGAACGTCTCGCCACACACTTTGCAGCCCCTGTTGAAACGCGGGTTATGTAGCAGAATCCGGCTCGAAGGACCATGATTTGTAATCAACTTGAAAAGGAGGATGCAATAATAGTGCCATACAAATGTTGAGAACAGATAGATATCTTCTTCACTCCTTTCTAACACAGCTGTAGGCAAAAGCATTAAGGCGTACAGACCCATTTTAGAGTATAGGTTTTCCGCAGGGAGAGGCATAGTGCTGCCATGACAAGAAAAATTTTTTATAAAAAGGTAAATAATTATAATTGAGTTTTATTGAATGTTGGGATGTTTCACCACCTTGATATTAAATTATTTTTTATAATTATTAAACAAAGATCGGACATAGATATTCAGAGGCTTAGTTAGCATAGCGTCTGGCACGGGTTCAGTACATAGAAACTTACTTGAAATCGTTATTCTTCACGTGCTTGGCGGAGATAACCATGTGTCGTTTATATGCCTCCACCGAGACAAACTTGACGTCGCACTCCTGGCAGTATGGGCCTGTTTCAAGGCCCTCTACCGATTCAGTCTTCTCCTGGAAATGAAAACGACATTCGAACGCGTTCCCAGTGTAACGAGTATTCTGTGTTAACTTGTCAATCCCAATAAAAACAAATAATGGTATATCTTAAATTTTGTACTCAATATTCTGTGTTATATTGCCAGTTTAGGTTGTTTTATCCATGGCACATTATCAGCGTACCTAGCCCCGTGTTCATCCGGTTCTGAGAATTTGCGGTCGTATAACACGTTTTCGCAAATAGCGCGGGTAGACAGAAAGGTATGATATTTAGGAGAATTTTAAAGAAGAGAGTCATTTGTATATACAGTACTAAATGACATTAAGGTGTAACATACGTTGGTGATAGTGAAAATCCGCTTATGTAGTATAGGTAAAAAGTTCGTATCTGCACGAAACCAAATTTCGCAGGAGATGGATTTAACGTTATTACTTTGTTATTTCAATGGCTACGACTTTCAGTTTTGCACAGTAAGCATTAATTTATGTTGTCTATGGACTGATAACAATAGATTCCCGTAAATCACGCTAATTTGGTTGCCACAACATTTACGCGAATTTGTTTTGGCGACTAAATTACCGAAATGGAAAGTCATCATCAAATGCTAGTTACGCGTAATTGCACTATCCCCGACGATATAGTGTAGTAAATCTATTTGTTACAATGAGTTGTAACACTGAAACAAACCTTTTTAGCTTTGAGAGTATTAAGTTTGTAAATTGTAAGTATGAAGGAAATATATAAATAAAAAGTAACATACAACTTGGACTAATATGAATTCCTTAGCGGTAACAAATTAAAACAATAACAACTAAAATGATTCTATACATCACAACATACAATACGAAATTATGAATCAGATTTAGTAATTTTAGTTAAGTGTACACCGAGTCGATTGCCGCCTCTTCGGCAAGCGAATTCGGCTGACGAAGATGGCGCAGTCGATCGCCGAAATCGCCAAGTTATTATAAAAACAAGTTAACGCACAGAGTCACAACAACGAAAGTTCGAAATGTTCAACAAAGTGCATTCACAAGGTGGGAACTTATTTGAATGGCCGTCGCTTTCAAAGTTGACCAAATCGACTAGGTGTAAATAAAGTGTAATCTATGTCGAGCGACTCGGTCGTCTTTAGCAGCGAACTACAATCGTCAAACGACGCAGTGTTTACACTGGGTAAGTTACTGCCTTCGGCGGGGGCGACATAAATGTCAAAACCAACAAAATTCAATACGTTAATTAATTAAAGCCCTTTGACTTAAACTTTCACGTTTGTCACACATTATTTAATTTTTAGGTCGGGACTTATTCATGTATAAAACGTTATTTTAATTACCTTGACGTTTCGGACGCATTACAACGTCCACGGTCTTAAAAGGACTGAGGAGACGGGTGTCAACATTTTCTAGCCGTGCCAGTTTTTCTAACTACCCGGACTTGGTCTTCATTATTTATTTGTGCACTAGGGTTGTCTGTAGATCGACACACAACAAGAAGTTGACACCCGCCTCTTCAATCCCTTCGAGACCATGGACGTTGCAATACGTCCGAAACGTCGAGGTAATTAAAATACGTTTTATAATATGTCGCATCATCCTCGCATGATTGTGGAACTACGATTGCCTATTGATTAATTACAATGCTACCTATCGTCTAGTCTAGTGAAACATCAACTAGTACGCTTGGATTTGGTTAAAACAGTTGTCAGATGTGAGGTTGGTAGACTGAGTCTAACTAGTGGCGGTGGGGTGAGTCAATAGAGTGCCCTTATGTGGTAGAAACGGGAGTAGGGAAACAGTATCGAAACAAATGTACCATGAGGAATCGATACTTTTGTCCTGCAAATTTTCACTATTTAAAGACAGAATAAAATATGTCAATTAATAAGTCTTTTGATTTGTGATTTTTAATTGAAATAAATAATAAAAGACTTTCATTAAATCGATCAATTCAATCAATCGTCATTTCACATAATTTGTGTTACATAAATTTCCCACTACTCCTCTGTATAAATACTTAAAAACAAAAATCTATTTGGTAACAGTATGTTTCTCGTTTTTGATATTGTATTGCCCGATTTGAGAACAAACGTTCTGAAGAAGGAACAAACTTCGCCGGAATTGCGAGGTATTCAAATATAATGTTTGGCAGGTATGGTAATTCAAATGTTTCTAATTAGTTTTCTTCATTCTCATTCTTATAAAGAGGCAAATGGTGGTATACACTATACAGCCAAGTCATTTGTGATGAAGGTTGCCATTAAAAAAAAAATCGCAGTGACTTGCTTTATGATGTGAGGTGTCCTAAGTAGGAATTATTTTTAACGATACGATGCTTGTCAAGAAGTACTCTGTACCTTTTCATTCGATAAATGAAAATTATCGGTATCGGAAGGAAAAGTACTCCATACCAAAAAGTATCGATACTTTTTTCATGTCCCTAAACGGAGAGAGGGAGCATACTGGTAGTTGAGACCAAAAGAATCGGAGCTCAGTATTGAACTCATCGTGTTGCACATTTTTAATCCATTCCTATTCATTTGATCCTAAGAGTTATTGTGTAATTGATAATTTAATTAAGTAAACCAGTACCTGTGCTATTGATAGGTCATAATGTGTGTGAGTGTGAGACTCTAATAATGCAAATTCCTGGCAGCGAGTCTTCATATCCATGATTAAGTCCCGAAGTTAAGATTAAATAATAAAAGGCCATCTCGGAACGCACGAATAAGGCCGCAGGTAAGGTAGCACTCACGAGGTCCTTGTGCATCATGGTCCTGTGCATGGCCAGCCCCAGCTTGCTGACGAAGGAGTACCCGCACACGCCGCAGATGAACTCCGACGGGTGCTTGATGCGCACGTGGCTCAGGTACGACGTCCATTTGCTGAAAATGCAAACGACTTGTTCTTACATACGTTTGTCAAGATTAAAAGTGAGAGCCTTAAGTGTGAAACACAGAGAGAGCGGGTGCGGGTCGGGTCGGGACTGCGGCGGGTCTGATTTCATGTATTTATATGGACGACAACACACTGAGCTCCAAACTCGGTGTGTTGTCGGCCGTATAAATACACGGAATTAGACCCGCCGCCGTCCCGACCCAACCCGCGCCCGACCCGCACCCGCCCTCTGTTTCACGCGTAATGGTTTGACCAGCCTTTCGAGCAGAGACCATGGTTCGTATCCGGGCTCACACCTCCGACTGTCTTGGAATTTATGTGTGAAATTGAATTTTATATTTAGCATGAGCTTTTCGTGTCCGTCAGGATGGCTGGACCAAACGAGATATACAAATCAAACTGTGCTCATTATTTACTATCTATTTTCTACTATTTAGTACCTTTATTGACATATTTTCTAATTTACTACATATAAACTATCTTTTTAGAAAATATGTTTTGCAAAAGCGTTTTTTTTTAAATAACTTTATAGAAGGTTCCTAAAATAGCGAAAAATATTTTTTCTCATTTCACACTTTCATGTTTGGGTAGAAATTAGGTAGTAAATAGTTATGTAAAAAAATAAATTATATACTGCCAGAACCATGAAAAACTTAAAGTGGTCCAGCCATTCTGACGTCAGAATGGCTGGCCATTTTATTTCTTTAATATTTCCTATAGCGCTAAGGTAGATATGTCAATAAAGGTACTAAATAGTAGAAAATAGGTAGTAAATAATGAGCACAGTTTGATTTGTATATCTTGTTTGGTCCAGCCATCCTGACGGACACAGCTTTTCGGTCAAGGAAAACATTGTGATGAAAGCTGGACGTCGAAGAAGGTTCAGAACCTTGTGAAGTCCCCAACTCGCATTTGACCAGCGGCAGCGTGGCGTATTATGTTTAAATCCGAAATCCTAGGACATATAGGGAAACTGTCTTAGGTATCATTAGGTCTTTTTTTTGTGAAAAAATTATGGTCAAATGTGGGTTGTCCACCAAAATCAACATTTTTTAAAATGCTAATTTTACTGTATCCCAAGGAAAAACGGAACAGTTCATCAACACTAATAAAATGTTTTTTCGTTCATACTCGTTTTAGTACACCTCTAGTGGTTTCAAACAAAGACGTGTAGTGAATGTTATTAGATGAACGACGTTTTTTAAATAATTTTGAGGTAAATGAAAGGCACTGAAATTACGTAGCTGAATTTCCGTAGATCTCGTACACAGACATATATCCAGATAGACGCCGCAAATGTACGTACTTCGCGTGCCCAAAGTAAGTGAAAATCACTTACTTACCGCTGCTACACTTCAGGACGCGCTCGACCGTTATCGTAGATAAACCATAAACCAGTCGAAAACGCGAAAAGTGCATAATTGTGCCATTATAAACTGCAAAAGCACCATAACTGTTGGTAAACGAGTAAACATGGACGTTTCCTTCCACGGGCAATTGATTTTGTAATTAGAAGATGCATAATTTATTTTAAAAACAATTATTTTGGTTTTGTATGAATTTCGAGAAAACAAATATGCAACTCAGTGTATGCCTCATGATTTGTAATACATTGCGGGTCCTACTTAGTGCGATTTACTTTGTTAATACGCCATGAATATCGAACGAACGCACTTTTGCATAATGCATTCAGTTTTCTGATCGATTTCGAAAACAAAGGGACGAAAATTATTATGACCTTAGCAATATTATAAAAATAATCTATAACTCTTTTATTATAACGTTTCGTTTTTTTCGTTTTGTAGTATCTATTATCAATAGTATCTGTAATTTCGATAATATTTGCAGCACGTTGTCTCGAATGTCCGAATATAGTGAGCAAATAATTACTTATTAATTATTACTATTATTGAATTATTACGAGTAATACAAAAAAATATATAATGCAAAGAATTAACAGTGCGCTGTCTTTACAAAAACCTGGAGTTGGTCACACGTATGAGTTCGTTGCTTTCGAGGACGAAGGTCTAGTTTATCCCACCTAAGATGCTATCCAAGTATGCAGAGTAGTAGAGTTAGAAATCCGAGAAATAATAAACAAATCACGAAAATTTCACACGAGGCCATAATTAAGTAAACCTCTTCTGATTAATAAGATGTTACCATATTTTGTCAGCAGTAACATTTTCATTTGTCTTGCCATTCACGAATTTAATCAATTACCAACGGAAAACCATCTAGTAAATTTAATTAAGGCAGTTGCAAGTTCATATATTGACGTGCGTTTTCATTATTTAAGTCAATCGATAAGATCTTCTATTACAAAAAGACAGTTATATAATAAGCTTATATTATTTCAAGGACAATAATTTTAATATTTGAAGTTGATTATAAATTAAAGTTTCAATTATTAAGTTATCAAAATTGTTAAAAACAACTTTTAATAAAGGATATAACTATCTTGTTTTGGTATTTTTCTACTGTATTAATATTTCACGACTACTTGTAATCAACGAATACTTGAATCGATTAATTGAATTGAATACGTGTATTCCGTTCAATCAATCGATTTAGCGCGGAAGGAGGTTTCCCATAAATAACTAAATAGTTCTTGTGACGTCATGATGGATACATAAAATGTGGCACGCTCGGTTTTCAAACAAATTGCTGTACTTGCGGCGTCTGTCTAGATATATGTCTGTGATCTAGATCACTACTACAGTACTAGTACTTACGTTGATATTTCATCACAGAATTGACATTTAAATGTGACCCCTTTGTGCCATCTATGATGCTGTTTCGCTTGAGTTCTGAAATAAATAAAGAAACCAATATAAAATAATAATAATAATAATCATAACGCACACACTCACAGCCCCGCATTAGGGAAACCCTGTATCGTGGGTGCCATGAACACACACATAGACAACCACAAATTACACCCAAACTCGCGAAAGAAATAAGTGTAAACTATACAAATATTTCTCCCGGCCCGGGAATCGAAACCTGGGGCCTTTGTGCAGCATTCCAGTACGGTAACCATGCGGCCACGGAGGCAATTAAAAAACGAGTTTGAAAAACAAGATCTTTAGAAATAGTTCATGTAATTATTAACAAAGAAAATTACTTAGATTCGAACCAGCGCCTTCAGCATGCCGTGTCTGATCCAGCCGGATCGAATCGCCGTTACAGTAGTAGTAGAGCTCCTAGTGAAAGAGTTCGTCCAGGGAATTACTGCCACCTTACCTATTTCTGCCGCCAAGCAGTAATGTCAGTATTACTGTGTTCCGGTTTTGAAGGGTAAGGGTGCTGGTGAAATTACAGGCACATGGGACCTGTCAACTTATGTCTCAGGGCGACTGGCGCAGTGATAGCGCCCCTCAGATCTTTGCAATTTAAAGCTCTGAGTAGCACTGTAACTGTTATGGACAGGCGTGTTGATTACCATCAGGCGCACGACTTGTTCGTCCCGTCACTTAAATGTTATAAAAAAAAATACGATTTTGGTTCTTACGTGGTTTTAGAGACATATGAGCAGGACTTGCAAGCATACTTCTTCTCGTGATTAGCGGCGTGCTTCTGCAGCTTTCGTTTCGTCTTGAAGCGGAACTTACAGATTGGGCACTCGATGTCACCAGCACTCTGAGGAATGTAAAATTAATAGACATTGAATGTATAGAATTCGTTTACAACACTTTTGTGACAATGCGACCTCTTTCATCGTCAGTCTTGGACACTTACTTTTGAAATAATTATAATAATATTTATTCATAAATCAGAAGTAATAAATTGATTACAATATTTTTTATAAGTCGAAGTTATACAATCACAAGATTATCCTGCCTTCTAAACTTGGGGATCACGTATCTTAGGAGGCAGAACGATCGACCTTGGGCTTACTATGAACTTAAGATTTGTGTAATTAATGTAAGTATAATAACATACGCGCGCGGGCGTTTTGTGTATGTGCGCGGGTGGTGTGGTGTGTGTGTGTGTGTATGTGTGGTGTCAGATGCCACGAATATTCGGCTACTATTCGGTATTCGGCCTATTCGGCCACTTTTCTTAATATTCGGTATTCGGTCGAATATCAAATAATGAAAAGAAGCACATATTCAAAATGTATTGTGTATTTTAATCACAAATTATTGCTTTAATACTTAAAATGAATCAGTGGCAGGCTGTGATGAATGAAAACAATATTTTCAGCATTGGTTGGAAACAAACGATTGCGCTTTTCCTCATAAACAATTCCTGCTTCTGAAAATAGCCTCTCACTATAAACACTACTGCCAGGAGACGATAGATAAATCTCATTAAATTTTGAAAGGCTTGGATACTGCTTTGCGTTTGCTGACCACCACTTGTCAGGATCTGCCGTCGGATCTAGGCGAACAGTTTTCAAATAAAAATCAATCTCATGTGCAATAGAACTTTTCTCTACATCTTTATCATTTTGTTCTATCTGTTGCGACTTCTTCAAAATAGGTCCAGAAACTGTCATGTGTTGATTCTATCGTTTTATCATTTTTCAACAAAACACCCCACCCTCGTTACCTCCGCATGCAGCGCAATGAGACAGGTCGTAACAGGTCGCAGTGAAATGCACAGATCTTACGCCGAACATTCGGCAGCCGAATATTCGGCGCCTCGGCCAAATCACTATTCGTGGCATCTCTAGTGTGGTGTGTGCTGTGTACGTGCGTGTGTACGTGCGTGCTTACATGCGGTCGTACGTGCGAGCGTGTGTCATCACTACATACAAAATTCTTGAGGCGAGCAGACGTGCTCTTAATCATATAACCAACTGCTTATAAGCACCCTTTTGGGATAAGTTCACTAATCATATAATAATAAAGTACTTGGTACTTGATGCAACGGGCTGGTATAATAATAAAGTAATAAGTTCTAATCTGTAGGGAGTGCTTTTATATTATTGTACCTGTTTTTATACCTTTGTTTTTGTTGTGCCTGTTTGTATACCTACCTGTCCTTCCTTTCTTCTTTACTTCACGTTTTCCCTATTATACTTCTACAATAAATTCATGTGGTCACGCGTTTATTATGTTAAAACAATATACTAGTATCAAAGGATTTTATTTAGTAATGTACAGAAACGTGCCCTTATTTGTAGTTCAATCACCATATAAAATAATAGCACAATAAAGGCACAACTGAATACAATTGTGCCCTTAAGTTCTATTCTTGAGTTAAGTATTAAAAGTCACATTTAAATGCGGTTTTTTTTCTACTAATTTAAAAGACGGTTACCATGGTGGACTGCCGCTAGAGAGGTCGCGGGTTTGATTCCCGGGTCTATTCCTCTCGTGGGTTTGGGTTAGCCGCGATACAAGGTTTTCCTAGTGCAGGGCTATAAGTGTGTGTTCTATTAATATTGTTATTATTATAATCTAAATAAACTACACAATCTCAAACGTATATTTGAACTATTCTTTTTATCAGAAAAACCTAACAAATAAATCTATACTACGTCAAATGGCTTTGGTTGATTCCGCATAAAAGTGAAAGGGTTGAATCAATCACCTTGGAATAAATGTATAGTAAAATTGAGGAATTACACTGAGACCATACGGTGTGAAAACACGATTCCTATAAATTTTCACGACAGAAAAAACACAATCTTACCTCGAAATTTTACAGGAAAACCGCTGTATTCCGTACATTATATATACCAATGTTTTTTTTTTTGTATCAACAGAATTAAATAGAACACGTATACTATACGATATACATTTTTCAAATGGCTTTAATACCGTTTGTAAAAAAATAAATTCTGAAAAATTTTAATTCGAACTAAGGTAGAATTGACTCTTAACTCCAAATTTAGAATTCGCTGCTTGTGCCTTTCTTTCTTCTGAAGGCAGTGTTCACTTACCGGGTCGTGTTTCCCAACATGATGTTCCCAAGCACGAGTATCGATGAAGCCTTTGTAGCATAAACTGCATTGGAACGGCGCGTTCTGGTAATTTGACGACTGCTCACGCTTCTTTATCTCTTCCAACTGCTCTTCAAACTAAAACCGTTTAGGTACAGTTAGAAACACATTAGTTTTATTTCTTATTAACCGACTTTTTAAAAAAGGAGGTTCTCAATTCTACTGTTTTTCTGTATGTATGTTACGCGATAACTCTTAACAGTTGTGTACCGGTTTTGATGATTCTTGGTACCTTAGTATTGATCCAATTTAAATTTGAAAAAATATTCCACCTCTAAGGGTGGCAAAGTAGGGAATGATTCCGGTATCGCGCTTTTTCCGGTAACCGATTTCAATAAAACCTGGAAATGGATGTAATAGCACGAACTTTTGATATCGGTTTTTTTATAAAAAAAGTTTTTCCTTACGTCACTTTATAATTGAGCGTTTTATATATTCCGAAAGAATATTTAAGACCCCCGAATAATTAATATCGGGGATGTGAGAAAGATAAGAAACAAACAAGTAGTGGCAAGGGACAATTTTATTAAGATTTACAGGAGCGGATTAAAAGTTAATTTATGCCAATATGTGAAGTCTAAACTAGTAAAGTACTAAAACTTAAAAAAAAAACCTGGATAAAATAGCTACAACAGCGCGGTTATATCGTCTCGCCTCACCGGTGGAAAAGCACCTTCAACACTCGAGCTATGGCAAAATGTCTCGCGTTAAATGGACCGTGTCAAGACAAGACTCGCGCTTTGACTTCTCATTGACTCGCTGTTTTGAATATTTATGATCAAAGCCGTTTTGTATAATCGGCAGAGTAGTTTCAGAGTATAAGGGCTCGATCTGTAGTTCTGTTGGTAAGAGTGGTTGACCCGGTACGGCAACAAACGGTGGTCCAGTCTGATCTGATTTTCCTTTGTGTTCTTCGATCGATACGTCAATAATAACAACAAACTGTATTGCATGCAGTTTTTGACAAAAAAATATAAAATATATGAATATCATGGTAATAAAAAAAATCATGTCATTCAATAAAATAAAACATTTTCGAAGATAGAAAAAGAAAGAGTGCTAAAATCATGCTTCTTTCGGCCTTGTCTTGGTCGAGTCACAGATTACTTAACACTTACTACATAACAAATACATCGCTCTCATACAAAATCGAAAATACCTACGCCATAATAGCCTACTAAATCTGATTAATGACACCAGGCGCTCACTACGAGGCAAAAGAAACCTAAGCTCGCGCTTAGAGAGGTGAAAATAACATTGCCCGCCGTGTGCAGTCGTGCGGAACCGAATGCTGGGGTTGTACAATGATTGTAATGTAAATGAAACAGTGACAGTCCATTTCGCATTTATATCCAACTCGAAGGGCCATACGACACTCACTGTTAACTTGACAACTGTGGCGTAATCTTCCAAGTCCACAGAATTGTCATCCTCCGACACTCCGCCTGTATTTGTTGTTCTCCGAGATTTCTTTTTTTCTTCCTTTTTAGCCACTGTTTTGGGTACGTCAGTCTTTTTTGGCCGACCTCGTTTTTTTTTGACTGGAACTGCGGGGGTTTGTATTTCTGTACACTCAGGTTCAGTGGATAACTCTTGGGGGAAAGGTATTACCTGTAAGCAATTAACATTATTATCATGTAGAAAAAATTGCATAGTGAAAACATAACTTATTCATTTTACAGACAGCCTAGCTAAATATTAAGTGGGGCAATTTTTGAATAGCATTTCTCTTGATTACATGACAGTGGGTATAATTACATGTCCATATGGTGTTAGTAGCTACTTACAACTATGTTAATAGAAAGCAAAGTGTTCATTTTCATGAATAAGTATTGGACTTAAGGATTGGGTTGTCTATCCTCTCTGCTATCACCTTAAGAAAACTGTTAGAGCTGCCTCTCGCTCTGGCTAACAGGGATGCCAATCTCTTCAAACGACTGCCTGAAAACTATCAATCCTAGCCTTCGCGAACATCCCTGAGGCACTACAGTGTCGAGGCAGCCCTAGCAGTCCCCTGAGGGCGTTGTTGAATAAGACATGCAGGGCTCTGTGTGCTTTTTTAGTCTAATTGCTCCACAGGTTGCACGTGTATAGGGTCTGGCAATATGTTAACACTCCTTAAGCTGTTGTGCACTTAGTAGGTACTTGATACTTCACAGCGCCTATGTTGCGTGTGGTATATGATAACTCCTTAACATGGCACTGGCAATATGTTTAGAAAAGGATGATTTTAACCTCGTATGAGCACCGTGCAAACCTGTGGGCCACCATATTTCACCTTGCCGCCGATGTATTTGCTTCTAATACTTCTTCTTCTAATCGTATCGATAGCATACTTTATAATGCTTGCCATCGTGGTGGAAGGATTTGCCAATCGGCGTAAGATACTCGCTCAGGGTACGTCAAACGTACAGGAAAGAAATTGAATGGTACGTCGTGTGGGGAGGTTCCTTCGTGCACCCCCTCAAGTTAATACTTGTAGAGAACAACAACTTACATTGTCTGTTATTTCCACTACATCCTCCTTCTTCTTCCGCCCAGATTTTCCTTTTTTCTTCTCCTTCTCTTTCATACTCTTATGCAATGACAATGGTTCATCATCATCACTGGACACGATGTTATCGAAAGGAACATCGCAACTGTCTTCATTTTTCACAGACATGGATTCGGTGGAGTCTTTGATGTCATCTGGTTCGTTCTTGATTAGTTCTGAGTTGTCATTTGTGTAGGCTTTTGGGTTTGTAGTTGATATATTTGATTTTGCTAATGGTGATGCTAAATTCAGTTCTTGCCTGTCCACTTGTTTTATATCTTGTGATGTTATCTACAAAGCTCATGATGATTAAATTATATTATGTTATATTTACTGCAGGGCAGGGAGATGCAATAATACTTAATAAGCTCTGAACTGCCATAACACTGTAAATGCGAACAGAGAGCACCTGGTATGACTGCAACTCAGAAATTCACAACTATCTGGCAATGCCAATGGATTCCGTAAGAGCAGAACCACAGATGTAAATAATGAATTTATTTTTCTGTGAGGAAAACGCTATTCAGCTAATAACTGATTAAAGCGTTGTCATAACACATTGTCTCATATGCTGTTGCTGCCAATTCTTCAGAGACATGCCGTTAAAAGGTTAGTTAAGATAAATTAAGGGGTGATAAAGCAACAGCTCTAACTTAAACTCACCTGCTCATAGTATGATTGCAAATTTTCAAATATAAAATGAAATTAAATGATTTTGTAACTTCTGACATTCTTATTAATGTGGGAGTCAATTACACAGTTTGACTAGACATTTGCATACTATTTAATAATGCAAAACATGTTTGTACTGGCACTTTGTTGTTACTTCTGTTATACCATGTTTTAAGCAAATAAAGGAGTACCTGTACAATATTTATGTCAGAATAATTATTGAGAGCGCTGAACTACAATCTGTATGTTTTAGATTTTAATTTCTGCATGTATTAAACATCTTTATGTAAATATATCCTTCTACGTCGTGCTTCTTGGAAAAAAATATCTTGGTTTTTCTAAAAAGAGACCAATTTAAAAAGGTTACCTTTTCTAAGTGAAATAGCTTTCAATGGCTCTAAGGTTCATTTAGGTTTCATATCCATGTAGTCGGAGTTAGACTGACTGGTAAAAATGGTAAGTATGATTGAGTGGGGCAAACAGTCTCAAAATTCCACATTTCTCAACGGATATAGGAATTTAAATAAAAGTAATTAATAAATTATTATAATTTTTATTACAGACCACAGCATGTGCATGGCAATACCTTAAAAATTACCTTTTCACCAAACGTGCATATCGTCGTAAATTTAACTTTCAAATTTAAATTTATTTATTTTGGATAAGGTAACCTTTTTAAATTGGCCTCTTTTTACAAAAACCAAGATTTTTTTCCAAGAAGCACGATGTAGAAGGTTTTATACCATTTTAAAATCTTGATTAGTTGCACTAACTTTTGTAAGAAGTTGCCATGATAGTTTAGATTTTTTTGTGCTGAAACTTTAGCAATTCGGGTTTTCTTTGGCATTGTGTTCACTAGCTGGGCTGTTTAGGTTACCGTTACAAAAACTAGAACAGCAAAATTAGCAAACTTGTAATTGTAGTACTTAAAAATGGTGTACAGGTCGTACATTTTCAAAATTTTTCATTAAAATGCTTATATAATGCTAAATATTTTTTTCTGGGTAGTTACATTAACTAGACAGCATCCTCTCAGGTTATCATTGAGTTTTGGGACAACCTGTATATTTTTAATAATAATAATACTATTTCTTTTGCAATGTAAGTTTATTGTTAATGTTCACCTGTCCAGTAGTTTGAAGCATGCCGTAAAGTACAGATTGTCCTATAAGACATCTCTCCCTGAACTTGTAGTATTTTTTAAGAAGTGTGGCACACTCGTAGCAGGCATATGGTGGTAGCTCCATTGTGCTTAGTGGCTGTAAATGAAATATTACTGGCTGCAATATAACATGTAATTAAAATATAGGCTGGTTGTATATTCATAAGTGGTAAATACAGTGTCAGAAAATATGTGTGTTAATTCAAGTTTGCAATGGATTTTTTTAATGCCTCTGCTAAACTGATCCCGTCCACAGATCGTTGACAGACAGAACAGATGTCTTGTTGGGTTTTATTTACTAAATTTATTTCGCCCTGCAATAGGCTCCCTTCATATTTCCAATTTCACCGTCCTTTAGTCCCATAAGTGACCGTCTGTTACTTAGAGGTTCATTCAAAGCTTGTGGAAGTCTGTTTTTGTGTTGTGAGATTCAGTTCTCATAGGGTTTTGTCATGCTACGTTTGTCTGTTTGACAGTAGGGATTTCAGATAATCATGGACATTATCCATTTTTTGTGAATTTAATTCACAAAGATGGAATCTTTAATTTAATAACAATCAATATAATATTATAGTTACATAGAAAATCACCCAGGATTATTTCTTCAAATTACTATAACTATTTTTACTTCAGAGCCCAAGGCAACAATAAAAAAAGTATGTAAAAATTTGATATTGAGTTATTTATCTATATATACATCATTATAGTGTACTTTTCACGCACTTTTCAATGGTATAATATAGCGGGTGTGTAACTAAATCATTTCTGTGTTATAGTCATACATCTACTTATACAACACACCCATAAAAAAGATCACAAAAATTGCACTATAATGTGTTAGATATTTCTTTTTACGAAATACGATACCATTACGATTTACGAATACGATTTTCGCATGTCAGCTTTCTATTACCCCCCCCCTTTTTTTTTTAAATATCTTAAATAACTTCGAATAAATTCATGGGATAATAAACTTGAAAGGTATAATTATGTTAGTTACTTACATTTAGTCCAATAATCGGTTCAAAGTACGTTACCAATGGGGACAATTGCAAATTATACATTTTAACGTCTGTTATTAGACAAATTCGGCAAACTTTAAGCTGTTCCATGTTTAAATACTATCAATTTTCATTTGTTTATTTTTGTAATGTAATTTCAAGTTGAATTTCATACAGTTCGCGGTTTAAGATAGAGTTAGAAAACGTTAGAACTTCTCCCAATGATAGACCTCCCAAAACACTACGAAATTCATAATTTTACACAATTCTAAGGTCACTTTAGATTAAAATTAAATAAATAAGAGCCTCTTTAATACTGCGGTATTCAAATTAAATACTATTTAATAGGATAAAACTAATTTATGTAGAAGAATGTCTAGTTGTACAAAAGACGCCAACTCGCTGCCATTTTTGTTAATTGACATTTCGAGCGTTTAGTTACGATTTCTGTTGTAACAGTATTAAAAATTGCAAACGCCAAAATCATTTAATTTCGTTCTAAAAGTATTTCATTGTAAACGTAACAAATGTTTGTATTTAGCAAAATTAACGGAACGTTATAAACTAATAAAATGAATTTAAAAAAATAACCAGAATTTATGTGTTTCTTCTGCGTCTTGTTATGAGGTTAAAAATGATAATGTAGGAAGGTTTTCTATCGTATGAGATGAGGTATACTATACTTTACTTTGTAGCTGTATTGGATTGGAAGCAGTAAAGTTATAGCATTAGTACCGACCGGCATGCTATGATGGCCGTTTTGACGTTTGTCCGCTCATCAAGTTTCATATTCTTCTTCTTTTTTTAAATATTATGGCCCCATCGAAGTAATCGATGATTTCGCCAATGTCAAATTGAAGAATACGCGCGTTTTTACTCAAAACCTACACAGACTATTACAGAAACAAATTTTAATCAAGTAATTCATAACTACGCGAGCTACGTTGAAGGAGCTATAGTGTTGTCAGTAGTGACGTGCAGTAAAATTTATGGAATGTATAATTTTACGACACAACTCGGCATTTGTTTTCTGAAATTCGAACATTTTAAAAATTAAATCTAATACGATCGTCACTTATAGGATCGCTGGCCAGCGCAACTTCTAACTCCGGCAAACTCGCGTCAAAGCTCAATGCAAAACAAAGCAGTTTCGAATTGACGTTGTTTCGAAAATAACAAACTGATTGTGATAATACAATTTTGACCTGACTTTGAATCTTGGATATTGATACTGCATTACTGTTGACCCTTGCTCGTTAATTTGAACTTTGTTTACACCTATTGTTGTGGATTTCATTGGTATGGCCGAACGTACGCAAAGAACTGTTTTAAACAGTCAGACACGTGAGTTCGTTATACGACTTCGTAACTATTTCGAACGTGAGTCTTTAAATGGAGGACCAATTTTACCTATAACGTCAGTGGTTGACCGTGTAGCTGATGCGCTTAATATTGGACAACGAACAGTTAGACGAATAACTAAAGAAAAATATGGCGAGACTGGCACAGAAGAAAATAAACTTCTCACACCAAAAAGGAGAAAACGATCAAAACCAGTCGTAGGTATCGAGAGCTTTGATGCCGATGCCATCCGAAGACATGTGCACAGCTATTATTTACGTAAGGAGTATCCAACGAGAAAAAAGTTAGTGCAATCATTAAAGGAAGCTGGATTATATTCCGGTGGGGAAAGTTCGCTAGTGAAGATTTTGAAGACCATTGGATTTCGTTACAAACAGTGTAACAAACGCAAAATATTGAAGGAAAGATTTGATGTTATGATGGCAAGGTGTACTTTTTTACGGCAAGTAAAAGAAATTAAAAATTGGCAAAATGTTGTGTTTTTGAACCAAACATGGCTTAATGCAAACCATACTGTAGACTGTTCTTGGACTGATGACGCTGCAGCATCTACGTCTAAAGTTGTTGGAAAAGGGTCGCGGCTTATAATTTGTCACGCCGGAACCATCAACGGATTTGTAAAAGGTTCTCTCATGGCTTTTGCGTCTAAAACTACTGGAGACTATCATGAGGAAATGCATGGAGAAAAATTTACTGAATGGTTTACCTCCATGTTGTGTAGCCTCCCTGAACCATCTATTATAATTATGGACAACGCCCACTCTATGCAAATTGATAAGCCACCTGCCCAATCGCAAAAGAAAACTGACATTGTAGCATGGCTTCAAAAAAATGGCGTAGATGCAAACATAAATATGTTAAAAGCGGAATTAGTCCTGCTTTTAAAAGAAAACAAACCAACCAAGATCCGATACGTAATTGACGAAATAGCTTCAGAACATGGGCACAGAGTTATACGGTTACCACCTTATCATTATGAATACAATGCAATTGTGTTGGTGTGGGCTCAAATTAAGGGATATGCTGCAAGACGCAATACAGAACCCCCATTTACCACAACAAAAATGCTAAAAATTTTGGAAGAAGCTTGTGAACATGTAACTACAGGAGACTGGGAACAGGTCGTGAATAGAACTGTTAAATTAATAAGGGAAGATTATGAAAGAGATGTCAAAATAGATAATATTTTAGAAAATGACCTTATAATTAATGTATTTGATGATAGCAGCGACGACAGTGAAAATAGCAGTATGGACGAATCTGATTAAATATGTACTTTTGTAGCACCATTTTTTCCGCCTCCTTTTGTATAAATTTGTTTTTTGTGTGCAAATAAAGTATAGTATGCAATATGCATCACGTGGTATGCGTATTAATTTTCATTTCAGTATTCGTTTCATTGGAATTTTTATTTTCGTTTTATGTAAAGCTTTTAATCAACTACCCCTTGCAATACTAGCTATAAATCTAAAAACTTATAGATGCGAATCGCATTTGAATATAATATATTTTTTTCGATAACGAATTGAGATTTCACCTCACTATTGTAATTTGTCAAAACAGCCATCATAGCGTGCCGTGCTTCCTATGTGCTTTATGGCCGGTACTATTAATAAACAGGTACAAGTTTAGTGCAAGGTGGAGGCGATATAAGCAAATGTCAAATTAATTTTATTCCTGCACCATAATTCTGTCGCGACGTCCACTAATTAAACCGCGGCTAAGTGACAAAATATTTTTTTGAGATATAAAAAAACCATAACCCAGCTTTATAGTATTGTAAATGTATAGATGATATTTCAACTATGTAGGTATCGTTAGGGTAAGTTCCGATAAGTCGAACACTAACGTGTTTTAACTGTTTTTAAAATAGAATTTTGTGCTCTATCTTTTGCTATTCAAAACGGATATTTGACCATTTGTCACTTAGCCGCGTAACACTTTTTCTACAAATTTTCGAAACTATGAAGGTATGTTAGATAAAGGAATTAATACACAACAATCATAATATCCTCCTCATATTCTTAAACTAAACCCGTAGCTATAATCGGGAACCTCTCAAATTAATCTTTCCATGTTTTGTTATTGTTAGTGACCTCTGCCAAAGTATTTCCGTCGGGGATGAAAAAAGATCCGCTGATCGTATAAGCAACGGCTTTCGCCGTGCAAATTTAGCGCACATTTTGTTTCCAAATGGGTTTATAAATATTTTATATATATTTTTTGTATTTTAAAGTTTGTTATCATAAGTATTCATAGTTTTATTATGTCTGGCCCTTTTAACCGACTTCAAAAAAGGACGAGGTTCTCAATTGGATTGTATGTTTTTTTGTATATATGTTACGCGATAATTTGTGAACTGATTTTGATGATTCTTTTTTGTGGTCCCATTTAAATTTGAAAAAAAAATATTGCACATCTAAGGGTGGCAAACTAGGGGATGAATTCGATTTCGCGCACTTTCCGGTAACCGATTTCAATAAAACTTGGCAAATAAATGTTTACGAACTTTAAAGGTTGGTTTTTTAGTACTCTGTACCATGGACCAATCTGTACTGAGATAATGACAGCTCTATTTATGTTACATCACATTTTACTGGACAATATGACGCCTGCTACATTACAAAATAATATATATGTGCTAAGGATTTCAAAACGGGATAAGGTCACACGAAAAGATTTGGAAATGGTCACGTTTGCAACTGCAAACCCATAGATTATCTATGTGCAAACCGCATACGGTAATATCATCACGATTTTATTGTAATGCCGCGATATTATATTCGTTTGAAGTAATTTGCACACATTTTTAATTTTCAGTTTTATAGCGAAAAAAACGACAGCAGTTGCTGCAAATCTCTTTTGTGCATATATAGTCTTTTTAAGTTTGTTTTATATTTAAATTCTAAATTTAAATGCGATTGTTTTTGGCGCCTTTTCTTTGCTATTATTTTCTATTTTGGATTGATAGTTGTATGTGCTTTTGTAGTAAATTAATAAAATGTAAGTACATTTGCTTTGGTCTGTTTTGCTCACTCTTTCTTAGCACCCACCAGAACCCATTGGTACAGTCCACTACAAATTTTACGTGTTAATTATCGTCTCACACGGATGTTTTTAACAATCATAAATTGCTTTGAAACAAAGTCAGAAAGCGGATATCCTTGCGGCAGCGACGTATTATAGATACGTATGTGCATTACGTACGTAGAATATTGCTATATGAACACAAAGCTTTATAAATAGTAAAATTAGTAAGGTATTGTATCCTATAAATGCAGGTAAGCTAACTACCTCATATGGTAGTTATAACTTCCTATTAAGCCCTACTTTTATTAAAACATTACTTTAATAATACAGAGAGACACGTCGGCCTTGCTTGATTTCTGGAGGTCTTGTTTGTAGGTTCATGGAATCTTTCGTAGATACTTTCACTACAATTCACGATTAGTTAGTTATTTTATACGACTCTCACGGTAATGTACTTGTGTGGTTCTATTCTTAACCGGTAAATGCATGCGGATTTTCCTTTTATAACTGTAACTAAATGTAGTTGTTTGAGTGCTGTGTACGGACCTTCTACTTCGACGTCGGTGCCTGCTAGTTAGAGTTTAGCAATAGTCGGATTGATATGCTTGCTATACTTGTTTACATTTTCATAATTTCGCTTAATTTATACTAAATATAATTAATACAATGAATTAATTTACTTATCAACTACGGATTGAAACTCTATTTGCTTAAAAGAATAAAATATGTAGACTCTTTTAAATAAAAGTAGCATGTAAAACTAAACGTATTTTTATGTGTGTAGAGTTGCTGTAATTACAAGCTCCAGGTATAGTTAAGTTAATATCTATATTTTTATAAAAAATTTTGATTTATTTAGTTATGACAATAAATACATATCTAGCTTATGGGGTGTTACTATTGGAGGATATTGCATGAAGCTATTAACAATATATCACCTTCAAATACCTATAATATCGACTACGTAATTTGTGTCCATACCAACCGACTTACGTCCGTTTCAGTGTTCTACCTACCATAATCTAGAGTGCATAAGTTATGCATTTGTTTGTTACGAAAGAAAGTGGATAATGTAGTACAGTAAAATAACTTGAAAATAAACATCAATAGGCATTAAGGTTCGAAGTTTTGTTTTCATTTAAACTGACTGAATATAACAGGCAACAATAGGCCGAACCATGTACATAATTACTTCATCTATCCATTTGTTCATCTTTTCATTTAATATATAAACAAAACAATTTATTATTAATTGTATAAACTAGCACGAAATAATGCAAAAGATGTAATAAAAGAAATATTTAATTTGCATTTTAATACAGCACGTGACTAAATGACAATTTAGTACGACACACGAGACAAGGTTTGACTACCATGAATGCCAGTTCTAGGATCTAGTTCTACGGTAACAAATAAAAGACAGTCAATCAAAATGATAACTTATCAAGTCTAGAGATAAGCTGATAAGAAGTTTGCGACCCAATTTCATAACTTATAAAACTTATGGCTAACTCTATTCTATTACCAAGCTACTTTATCGAAGTACTTCCTTAGTTCCATCAAAAAAACCGCTAAGTAGGTGTACCAACTTTCTCATAAGTAGGTTAGAAGTGCTTACGTAAATTTGTAATTGCATTATGTACCTACCTACATTCTCTTTACGTCTATAGTAAAATACCTAAACATTTGACATCTACCTTTTATATAACTCCATCTCGCTCACTCATGCAGGGGATTATTGTTCGTGGAATGCGCGCGTCGAATAGTCTCGTTACACCGAGTTCGTAAGAGCGAAGTTAGTTGTTTTTACGTAACGTTGCTACTTTATGCCGTATGAAATAGAGTCGATTTTAGTAACGCACATTAAGAGGCTGTACCCAACGACCAAAAAAACTTATGTAACGAGACTACCCATAGTGACTATTTTGTAAGGTACATTCATAAATTTTATTTAGGATCTGAAGCATTAGTTTTGATTCAATTACGAGTAATTATGATAAAAATTATTATTTTTTGGCTGGTTGGTTTAGGAAAATTTATAGGGTAGTTGAATCAAAAATGGACCAGTAGGTATTAGAACAAAAATTAAGTCCTTGAGAACTAGTCTCGTGGGGAGTGCGTCTACGTCATCAGCGGAACTTTTTGTAGTTATGTATGACCGCTAGCAATGCCCCGATTGGCCAACAAAGCCTTGTTGGCGGCCATTTTGAACGATGCTGAGTCACCAAAAGGTGAAAAATGTATGAATTAATGCGCACTCCCCACGAGACTATACAACGGTATTGGGCATTTCCCTCTTGAACACAAAATTTGGGTTTCATGTTCCCCTACCTACCACAGCGCGATAACAAAATTGTAGCTTTTCGATAGAAATACTTGTGGAAAGGTTTCGTAAATAACATTATATGATTTACGAATAGCCGGGAAAATAGTTTTTCAAAAAGTTATAGTGGTCGAGTTGTGGAAGTTTATTTTCTAACCAAACAGCGTTCGAGCCTCATTTCGTGCATAGTGGTACTCAAGTACATGATGAAAAAGTGCAGTGTGTGATTAAAAAATCTTTATCTCCGGAAGCTTAATGCAAGGCGGGTGTTTATCTGTCAAATTAGTGAAGTAATAGATACGTAAACTTGATGTTGCGTGTAGAGCAGTGCCAATGTTTACGCCGAAGTTGACTGAAACCTATCAATGTATTGGATCAGGATGTAGCCCAGGTGCATTATGAGCTGTGAGGAATACATTAAGTATAAAAGGTACGAGGCTTTAACATAGTTCCCGCGCAAACGGTGTCAAGATGACAGAACCATTGATCAAGGTGAAGCAAGAGCGGCCCGATGAGGCCGAAATCAGGGAGATGGCCGCCAAAATGGTGGAGGCTAATAAGGCCAAGGCGCTGGCGGCGTCGGTGGCTGCCGCGCGCCCTCCACCTGGAGCCCTAGTGGGAATACCACCACCCGGAGCCGGTGGGCAATTGGGGATTCTGAATTTCCTGAATCGGAAACCAGGAGTTCCGGGCACTGTCCCAAACGTGGCAGAGCAGCGGCCGGTGTCCGACGCCGAGAAGAAGCTTCCGGCGCCCGACGAAGCCAGTTGGAAAGGTCATTTCGGCTGGGATATGCTGGGCAAGTGCCACATCCCCTACATCTATCGGTCCGGCGGCGAGAAGTACGTTGCTGTACGGATGGTGGAGATTAAGCTCCTCAACAAGTACCTGAATTACCTTCATGCAGACATCTACTCGTGTACATGCATCAGAAGTTACTACATCACCGAGATTGAGGCCCGGTTATTAAATGAGATAAATAATAGGCATTGTGACAGTCAATTTGGCCGAGACCCCTTTACTCAAAAGGACTTAGTAGTGAGGTTATCAGACGCTTATGAGTTCTACAACTTCCTAGACGTATGTTACAATAAGTTACTCCGTGGCACGACCAATACAAAGGACAAATGTGGTTTTATTAGGATTAATAAAGAGTCAGTTGTACCTTATACTGTTCGGGACAATCAGAAGTTTGTTCCTCTATTTTATTTTGAAGGTGAAACGGACAATTTGAAATTAAAAGCAGACCAACTGAAGGGATGGGACCTGTCTTACTTAAAGTTTTGTTGCAAAGTGCAGGGGATCCGCAATGAATTGTTTGCCAGTGAGACGTGTTCAGTGATCAGTTTGACAGACATTAAAACTTATTTCCCTCCTGGTACGGAATTTGAAGAATATTGGCCCAACAAAGTTGTGGACTCACAGCTCTTGATCTCAGCTAAGGGTAAGGAAAATTTAATTTAATTAGTAATTGTTGAGGCTGCCGTGCACCTGCAAAGTTTGCATTTAGTGAAATAGCAGCAAGTTTGATTATAGACAAATCAAATTGAAAAACTTTATTTCATAGGTTACCTACCAAATTACACTTGAAATCATCAAATTGATTAGTAATAACTATTTATTAAAAAAACCAACTTCAAAAATTTGTGGAATTACATATATTTGCCAAGTTTTATTGAAATTGATTACAAGATTTATCCCCTAATTGGCCACACTTAAGAGGTGGAATATCTTCTTAAAATTTAAATGGGACCAATACTGAGTAAAATATTGAGTACCTCCTGTTTTGAAGTCAGCGAATAACTACTATTCACTTATAAGACGGATACTCCTAAGAAAAATTTGTAAAATCTCTAGAGGTAGTTTTCTGTACGCAGCATGGAGTCACATCAAGAGCTCTTGGCTATGGCATAGTTTAAGGATAACATCAAACCTGCGAGGTTCTGAAAAAAATTGAAGGCATAATAATATGAAGTCACAAACTTTCATTGAATGGATGAAAAATTAGCCAAGTCTCTCCTGTAGGTGATTTCTATCCAGTACTGTCTAAATCAGTGCTTACAACATCAACGGAGGCAGCATACAATTAAAAAAAATTACATTACAATGTAGAAACTTGATCTTAAGTTTCTGATATCAAAATTTTCAGTTAAATCCTTTTGTGACAAAATCTTAAAATATGAATATCTATATATTTTATCTGAAAAAGTCTGTATTTTTGTTCACTTCTAAATACATATAAATGGTTTTATTATTAAAACTCATCCTTGAACACGTAAAAGACGCTTCGCAAAATGAAAAATTACATATCTCTTAATAGTACATAGAATATCCTTTAGATTGTCTACAAGTGTTTTGAGGGATGATACAGGTTGATACAATTACTTGTTAATGTTTCAGATACGTAATTTATTTGAACTTTAACATGAAACTATCTTCAGTAGATAATAGGTACTTGGGTATGTTGTGGTGGTAATGTGCCAAAGTGCCAACCAGTAACCAAATCAAAAACTCCAGTAACTGAGTAACTACACTACCCAGAACACTCAAAGCAAAATCAATGTTCAAATATTGGTATCAAAATTATTTCTATCGAAATTGGATTTTCGTAATACTAGTAATTTTTTTTTAAATTTAGTTCAATTTATTTCTATAAGAGCGGTTGGTTACTCAGCGAATTTTAGCAGCGCGCCTGCGACGATTCAGCCGCACACACACAACGACAACGTTAAGAAGCGATATTGTGATGATTATTTTTTGTTGGAAAGAGGTTACCTCAGTATTGATCCCATTTAAATTTGAAAAAAATATTTCACCTATAAGGGTTACAAACATGTTACGAGCTAGAGGAAGAATCAGGTTTCGCGCCCTTACCGGTAACCGATTTCAATAAACCTTGGCAAATAGATGTAATTCCACGAATTTCCGACGTCGGTTTTTTTTAGTACTCCGTACCTGTTAAGAATGATTCAACATAAACGGCGGCATCGATGCAACCGCCTGGAAATTGCTAGTGTCGCGATACTGTGAAACGCGCGTTTGTGTTGCTGCTAAACCTCTCCTAGTGTAACCGCTCTTAAAGAAACACAACATTTTAATTACAATTAGGTGTCTAATTTATGATGTCCTGTACAATCAGAAATCTGTTGATTGTTTAATTTTCATACTTATTGAATTAAACATAAGTACAATTAAAGATTTTGTGTCTGATCTTTGTGCTACTAATTAAAGACTAGATAATACTAGGTTATTATATATATTTACATATTTTTCGCGCCACCTTGAACAATTAAACTTGCTGTAGACGGCGACGTGGTCATTGAATTTAAAATGGGTACAAGGAAACTTTAAATAAAAAAATTAAATTAATTAACTATTGTGACTTCTTGCTTTATCTCCGAAAGACGAAAAAACAAAAGCTATTCTCAACGAGATAAAAAAAACGACGACAGCGCCAGAAAAGATAAATCGGAAAGTACAGTCGGCGACAAAATAGATGCACAAACTTGAAGAAATAGATTTACACAACTAGTTCTAACCGTGTTGCCGACCGTACTCGTTATAAAACTTGAGGAAATCTAATAATAGTAAGAAGTTACTCAGTAAAGATAAAGATATCACACTTTTGTTTCGTGGTAATAATTGACGTATAGGACAATACACGACAAGGAAAAAATAAATCCCTTTCACGTAAATGTTGATTATCTATTAGATAGCTAATAAACCATATAATAAAACTCCTTAAAATATGATTAATGAATGCGAAACCTTCGAAAAATCCTTGACATGATAAATAATATTGTTGACTACACGCACGGCATGGTATAAGACTTGCCAGTTATTTCGTAATAATAAAAATTTATTGTAGAATATTTTATAATTACGAAGAAAACGGCAAAGGTTTTGTAAGGCAACCATAGTTTACACAGGACTCTTACGAACAGGCGTGTAGCTTACCATTAGGTACACGACTTGTTCGTATCGTCACTTGATATTTATAAAAAAAACAATTTTTCAAAAATTCGTAAACCCGAATGTATGCAGGTGTCCTACTACACGTCTTCCTGAACCCCGTAGCTTTGGAAGTTGGTATGGTATAACGGCCTGAATGCAGTTTTCATTCATGTACCTGTAGATACTTCTGACGAAATAACAATATGACCGTATTATCCATGTTACTTAGTGAAAATCTGATTTGAATTCCGCAGCTCGCTTTCGTAGCGCTTATTTCGCATGTGGTGCAAAGTAGGGGCCTGGAAACTTAGCGTCTTTTAGGGTTTACTGAACTTTGGCGAGTGACCTCGACACTCAAAGGTATATTCTGCCTTTCAATAGGCCACACCGGAGTATTGTAGTACGCTCTACGTAGAGGGAGCTTTAGAAGTTATACCATAACATATGAGTACCATATTTCTCTAGAAAGCATTAGAATTTCTGGGTCCCTGAACAGTCTCATATCTTTCTACATAAGTTTTGTTTATAGTGTCCCTCCCTATCAACCTCTTGGTTATGCGGGAAGGGCACTATGACCTGTGCAAGCGAACTTGCACAGGGACCGTCTAAGTCAGGTCCTAACCCCGGATCAGCACGTTTGCACGCACTTCATCCGGTTCTCTGTAAGGCTAGTGCCTTAGGTGAGCCTACCCGGGTGCACGTACAGCACCCTCCCTATTTTCCAGATAGGTACCTGAGCTGGTAGGCACGCTCACTTCCCGTCGCGCTCCGCACGACTAACGGTTGCCATCGCTGAGACGCCGACTCTAAGCCGACTTCCAAATTTCCTCATTGGTGGCGGAGCTGTAAGGCACGCTCACTTCCCGACGCCGAATGAACAGCGTCTCTCCAGTTCCGAAATTACTACGCGGCCGGAGCGACCGGAAGATGTCTAGCTCATCTTTTACTAGCTCTCCGGGCTAGTGCCGGAGATGCCAAGTGGCAGAGTCCTGCGACAATGTCCGGACATAGCCACCGACTGAAGGAGCAACTCACGTGCCCCGCGCGTCTCCTCGCCTCAGCCCCTCAACTAGACCGCTACTAAGACGCGCTAGCTGCGCGTTGGACGAACGCCCCGGTCACTGGGTCCCTGGACAGTCTAAACTAGGAGCCTTCAATTCGCCTCATTGAAGTTTCCGGAGACCGGATGGCCGGCAACTTCTTCCCTCAAGGGGAAACATTGCCAGACATCTGGGCACAATACCCCAGGTTGCATTCATTGATGGCATTTTCTACCTTTAACTAGATGACTTGAAGACAAAATAAATTATTTTTTCTTTTCTTCTATATTATTATGCATGTTAGTACACTATTTCCTATTTTTAAATATATACGTGACTTAGGTATAGTTTTTCTCAGAATCAATAAAACAATACATTTATTGTAGATTATCATCTTTCCATAGCTCCAGTTTCATATTAACCATAAAGTTTAGATTATCCTATATTAACGTCACACTCTTGAAAAGCGTACGATGTAGCTTCATTGTGCTTATTAACTATGAAAAAAAGTCCCGTGTAATAAAAAAAATAAAGTAAATATTTTTCTTGTGTAGTATATTAAGCATATTTAATATACTGTTTCCTTTCCTTAATGACATATCTAAAGTAATTAAATTCAGCAATTTTCCCATTATTCACAAATAGCTTTTACGATATTAAAGATATGACATTACTACACTATAGACGACATTCGACCGCGTGAACCCCGCACCGGGGATTGACCCTTTTAATCATTCGCGTTTTCCGTCACAAAAGTTCACCACGAGTTTAGCACATGCGAACCCAGTTTCACCACTCTAAAATTCCGAAATCGCCGAATGTCGCAACGAGGTTTTTAGACGAAACTGTACCGTTATTTAACGGTATAAAAAAGGAGAGTTTAAACTCGTCTGCTTAATATTAAAAAAAAAGTTTGCTTTAGTTTTTTTAACCAATGTTCTTGCCGATGTCGCGGTCAAATCGTTAACTACTCCAGAGTTATTTTCGGTGTTATGCATGCGGTCGTCCCTAAAATAAATGTTTATTTCTGGCTGTTTTTATGGATGCCTTAAACTACAACCGCTACAAGGCATATTAAAGCTTAAACTAAACGCGTATTCAGTATATTACGTATTTACTACATTGACGTAAACTGTAAAAAACACAATATAGCTTGATAACTTTTATTACCTGAGTTACGTTAGGTATACTCGCTACGAAAAGGTCCATTCGGTTTTTTTTTTCACACTTTTGTTAGTAAGTCAATAACTTAGCAACAAGAATTAAATTGGGAGTCTGTAAGTATTATTCCTCTCTCTTGATTAACGTAAGTAGCGGTTGCCATTGCAATCTGTAAAGTTCCTTAATTGTAAACGCACTACGCTTGAGATTTATAAAAACTAAGCAAAAATGGCGAACTTAGCAAGTTTGTCGTATTTAAAAAACGAAGTTCAAGCGAGAATTTAAACTT